GTAAATAAGTAAGTGCCTGCTCTATGACCAGCAATTGGACACAAGGCATCGATACATAGAAATGAATGCTTATTTCCACCGAAAGACCTATGAAAGGATGTTTGCAGCAGGTTTATTCCTAATAGCTTGAATATATGAATAAATTATGGTAGATTTATATAATGCAATACCACACAACAATAAATAAAAGTGATTCATGGCCATGTAGGTGGATTTTACACATAATGTTGAGTTAACAAAAAGATAACTAGACATGACCCACAGAGACACAGAGACCATGACTTAGTGCCTCTGTTCACACGGTGGCTGCAACTGCCCAGCCCTTGCTCCTCCACTCCATCACAGGAAGAACCATGTTGTGTTTCTCAGGAAATGTTTAACATTACAATTATAATATTACAATTTTGTCATTCTAAAACATTTTTAGTAAGTTATGGCACTATATTTCTTTTGTAGAAACCCAAAAGAGTATTTGGGGTTACAAGGCTCTTCCTGTGGAAGTGTGCACTTCCTTGAGGGATAAAGTTCCTCAGCAAAGTCATCCAGTTCTTGCTCCTTGGAGAGGGCCAAGAAAACCTCTCCAGGAAAGGGGGCAAGGAATAGAGAGAGGGATGTCACCCTGCTTCCTGTAGCTCCCTCCAAGTGAGTGGAAAGTCTATGCACACTTTGTACATTGATAGTCCACGGATGATATAAAATCACTCACACTGACCCATCTGCTCTAGGCTGGGTGGCAAGAGGCTGTACTCCTCCGGTTGAATTTCTATTTAACTGCAGAAGGACGGCCATGTATTAGGAGTTCATCTATTTTCAGTCCGGATGGTTTACAACATCACCTTAGGGTACAAACAGAATATATAGGCAAATCTGAAGTGGAGAGGTGGACAGAGCCCTTCTTAGAGCTAACGCACAAAAGTGTTTGCTTAGGCTCAGGTGGAAAAGAGAGTGTGTTATGTTTGCATGTTGTCTACCTTATGAGACCTCTATTTAAGGGAGGAGAGGTCCTGAGAAGTTTTCCTTCCCTGCACGTGAGCCAGTGCCTTATTAGAGTCAACAAAACAACAGGAAGCTGTGGGAAGAAGAAATATGTGTAAAGGGCAAACTTCAGGAAGTTAGAGGGAAAACAGCTCTGGTTGTCTAAGGAACAGATAGCTTCTTGGGCTTTTTTTTTTTTCCCCAAAAGCCATTACAGCTTACCCCTAATAGAGTTGAAAATCCTTCTAGTTCAACAAAATAGTCTGGGAGGCATGGTTAGGGCCCTGGATGGGAGCCTAGTGGATTGGAAATGTGCCACCACATGTCCCAGGCCAATAGCAGCTACAGTGCTGATCGGGAGCACACTGTGAATGACCACACGGGTCAGAAGTTTGGGATACTCAGGTGGGAGAAAAGAAAGAAACATCACAGTGACCATGGATGCTGTCAACAGAGGGGAGGAGAATGTCTCTCTTCTTCCTAGATGAGATGATATCCAAATCATCAGTTGCCTCATAAAGCCAGTTAGATCTTCAAATTGACTTTATCCTGGTATTTTAGATTACATATTATTCATCTCATCTACCTACCTGTCCTGCACTTGGTTGTGTGTCTCCCATTAATATCCTAATGGATTTGCTTCTACTGCTTCCGTTATGTCCTAATAACCCTAAAAGCTCACGTGGGCTTTATATATATATATATATATATGATAATAGAAAGAGATTATTAGAAAGATTATTAGAAGTCTCAGTATGTGACTGGCTCAGTTGGTTAAGAATCTGACTCTTGATTTTGGTTCAGGTCATGGTTTGGGTCATGAGATTGAGCCCCACGTCGGGCTCCACACTCTGTGTGGAATCTGCTCGAGATTCTCTCTGTCCTTCTCCCTCTGCCCTTCCCCCCACTCACATGCTCTCTCTCTCTCTCTCTCTCTCAAAAAAAAAGTTCATGTCTCTTGTTCCCATAAATGCATATTAATACAACTGCAATCTAACAGATTCTCCATAATGTTTAGTCATGTTAATACACTGATAAGTATCAATCTTCAGAAACTGATTTATCTCACATTTTAAGTAGTATTTTGTTGATTCTCTGAGGTTATTTTGTTGATACTACACTGATGTGGGGAAATTCTCAGATTCTCTTTTCCTTGTGATGAAAACATAATCCTCACTTTGTTTGAAAATACTGCAGTGTCAAAAAAGAAAACTTACCAGAATTTTGAGCTGGGAGGCTTCTGTGCCTCTTGACAATCAATGTAATGATCACACTTAGAATAACGCAGACCCTTAATGCATGTGAGAATATGTCTAGGGGAAGGACCTAGAAGAGAAATTGTAGAATTGCTGGGTATGAATATGTGTGTGTGTGTGTGTGTGTGTGTCCACATCCCCAGTGTTCTCTCTTTTCCCACCTGAACTATGAGAACTTATTTTCTTATATCCACTGCAATGCTGAGTATTGCCATTCTCTCTGCCCATCTGATATGAGTATATAGTATTTCGTTGCTCTCTGAGACCCTCTTCCCTTGCTTTCCAAAGAAGTCAAGTATCTTCTCAGTCAGCTTTCTTCTTTTGTGAATTCTCCTTTTGTATCATCTGCCCACCTTCCTATTTGACTTTTAAAACTAACATATTTTGGTGGCACCTGGGTAGCTTAGTCGGTTAAGCATCTGTCTTTGGCTCAGGTCATGATCTCAGGGTCCTGGGATCGAGTCCTGCATTGGGCTCCCTGCTCAGCAGGGAGCCTGCTTCTCCCTCTCCCTTTGCCTGCCACTTCCCCCACTTGTGTCCTCTCTTTCTCAAATGAATAAAAACAATCTTTAAAAATAAATAAAGAAATAAAATGAATGTATTTTTAGGAGATCTTTATTCTGGATAATCTTTTTTCTGTTTTGTTTCAGACAACTTCTTTACACATTTGCCAGCTCTCCAACTTTCTTAATCTTAATTTTGTTTATCATCTCTTTTGTTGTACTGAAGTTTTAATTTAGTTGTGATTGAACATTATAATTTTTACTCTATGATTGTGTGTCTCTGTGTGTCCTGTTTTAGGAACACTTTCCTTTCTGGAAGTCAAAATATATTCTTCTATATTTCCTTCCAACCATTCTGTAGTTTTGTTTGTCACATTTTCTCTTGAATCCACCTGCATTTTGTTTTTTTGTGTGACGCACAAGGTGAGGATCGTATTATGAATCCCTTTGTATATTACTTCCACACTTTTTTTTTTGAAGATTTATTAATTTTGCGGGGGGGAGGCATGTGAGTGGGGGGAAGGGCAGAGGGAGAAGGAGAGAGAGAATCTCAAGCAGACTCCACACAGAGTGTGGAACCTGATGTGGGACTCAATCTCATGACCCTGAGACCATGACCTGAACCAAAATCAAGAGTCAGATTCTTAACCAACTGAGCCAGTTACATACTGAGAATTCTAATAATCTTTCTATTATCATTAATATATTTTTTTTTCCAGGCACCTGGAAAAAAACTGCCTCATTTAGCTTTCAATGCTCTTTGCCACACTTGCTTTTTCAGAGGTCCCACTGCTTTGGGACACAACAGTTTGCATGGTTCTTCATTTTCCCTCACAGAGATCATTCACAGACACTTGTGCAACACATTCCTGAGGCTTGTGCTCTCTTTAAAGAGTTCAAGGAGACATGAACTTCAAACAGAAGTTACTCTAGCACCTGCAAATTTTAAAATGTATTGTTGGCCATTTTTATTGCAAGTTTTCAGATTTCTTCAAAATGAACACTTTTTATAGTTTAGTCCAGAGTATTTAACGCAACATGCCAATACCCCCAAAGGAACAAGACCCAATGTCTTTAATTCATTTTTTACTTTGCTCCAAGATCATAAAATTACCAAGCAGTCGATTTAAGGACGTATAATTTGATTAAGACAATATCTGGAGACGTTTTTGATTGTCACACTCAGGTGGTGATTGCTACTGGCACCTCGTGGGTACGGATCAGAATTGCCATTGAATATTCTACAATACACAGGATAGCCTCTCCTTTCTCCCTCCCCCAACAAAGAATTATCTGGCACAAAACATCAACAGTGCCATTGTTGAGAAAAGCACATCTAGGATGAAAAAAATAAATCCACTCTTATTAAAACTACTTATTCATAATCACTGTGATGTTTTCATTTAATAATCCCTTGGAATAATTTATTCTTACTTTCGACTTCAAATACTCCAAAAATTCACTCAGTATAACTTTGTATATCTCAGTTAGGTCATCCCTTCTTGGATTTTCACAATACAAAGAAGGGTAGACTCACCCAGAGGCATCCCGTCTTGGGTTGGAAGTTACTGTTGTTTGCCTGTACTTTGAGGATGGTGTGGCACAAATGGGTTGAAATTGAAGGAAGAGTCATGCTTGTAGAGTTGATTCAGGCAAGGACTGGGAACAGCAGCTTAGAATAGTCTTTGGCAATTCCATCAAGAAATACTCCAGGGTTTTGTCCCCACCCATTTCCTAACATGATCTGAGTTAGTTAATGTAACATTGACTGTCTATTGTAACAAACAACCCCACTGTCTCCATAACCTCAGTAGCTTAAAACCACAGTGTTTTGTAGGGGTTTCATTTTTTTGGTTTTGTGTTGCACTCTGCATAGCTGTGTGTTTCATGACTCGGTCCTGCATGGTCCTGGAGCTCTACAGACAACTCATCTCCAAATGGTGACTCCCAGGCCAGGTGTCAGAAAACTTGGTTTCTGGTGACGTGTCTCTTCCTGGCTTGTGGGTAGCCAGCTCGCTGTGTCCTCATGGGATCTTTTCCCTGTGAGTGCACAGAGATAGGGGATCTCGTCCCCTTCTTATAAAGATACCAGTGCTATTGGATTAAGGCCCCAATCTTCTGACCTCACTGAACTTCTGTCTCCTTAAAGGCCCTATCTCCAAATACAACCACACTGGACTTTGGGGCTTTAACCTATGAATTTCGGGAGAACACAATTCAGTCCATAAGAGCTAACAACAACAGTAGCAAGAACAACAACAAAAAACTTACCTAAATAAGAACATATAAGTATATTGCACAGATTTTAAGGTATTTAGAAGGTCACCAGTTAAAGAAGTCATAAGACACATAAACATGAGAAATTAAGATCTGCTATACCCTTACATCATAAGAAAACCTATCAAATCATAAATATGTTTCAAAATTGTGAGATACATCATTTTTAAACTTCCATCAAATTGATTATTCAAATTCTTACTGAAATTACTTATTTTAACAGGTTTTCAAATTCCTTGATAGTCACAATAGACAGAACATAGACTGTACAATATAAAATGTGAAAAATGACAGAAAAGGAAAATCCATGTATTATGAATAAGCTGAAAAAAAAAAAAGAACCAAACAAACTCTGAATTACAGAAAGCAAATACTTGTTGGGATGAGCGGTGCGTGTTGTATGAAAGTGCTGTGTCACCATATTGTACAGCTGAAGTTAATATTACACTGCATGTTAACTAATTGGAATTTAAATAAAAACTTAAAAAAAAAAGCAAATACCATGTTATTCTGCAGTCACTGGCTCTATCCCCCCTAAATCAAGATTGGGTCTTACTTTGTCCTTACTTCATTCAAAAGGATAAGAAAATATTCAATATTTTGATGTTTAAGCAAAGAAAATAAAGCAATCTCTGTATCATCTTGAGAAGCCCAAACATTTTGTAACAAATGCATTTTTAATTTACTTCCCTATGACACGTGGGGTTTAGTTGTTGGCACAGAGGCCCCCATGGTCAGTTTCAAGATTGTTCTCACTGACTTTCCTCCTTAGTCCTGATAGACGTCATGTTATTGAGAAAAATGGTGACATGAATTCCAAAAGCATTTTGTATCATATCTGAGATAAGATATATTAATGATATAAAATATTATATTTAAAAAGAGGCATAAGATTTTTTTAAAAAATAGGGTATTTGGGACTTCAAGGGTCTTCCTGTGGGAGAAGCTTCCACTTCACCGAAGAGTCAAGTTCATCAAAGTCATCCATCTCCTGCTCCTTGGAGAGCTCCAGGAAAACCTGAGATGGACAAGAAATGAAGAGAGAGAGAGGTCACACTGCCTTCTGTCACTCTGAGTGAGTGCAAGGCATATGCACACAGTGTCCCTTTATAGTGCACGGATGAAACAGAGTCACTCACACCGACCCACCTGCTCCAGGGTGGACTGGGAGAGACTGTACTCCTCCAGGTCGAAGCTCTGTTTAACTGCAGAAGGACGGACAGACATTAGGAGTTCATCTATTTTTTATTTGGAGAGTTTTACCAAGTTATGCACAAAATCTACATATAAATAGATTTTAAATATGCAAGATAAGGTAATAAATACTCTCGGACTAGATCTGTCTGAGATATGTGCTTGCTTAGGCAGCACATATGCTAAATATGGAAAGGCAAATTCACCCTGTGGTCTTGTAACAGGATGGAAATACTCTCTCATTATCTTAGAGTTTGGGCAGGGGCACTCCAGACTGGAAAACATGGTGTGAGGTCCCATACCACCTATGCAGGCTGAGTGGAGAGATGTTCCCTCTGCTCTGGAATGCTACCATGTGCCCCTCGATATCTGCCTTCAACCTCTCTACTCTGCTCTTTGCTCCACTGGCTGACTTACGAGGTCCTTTCTGGTGGTTTCCACCAGTGGCAGCTCATGAGAAGGGAGAGAGGAGTGGGGAGGTCAAAGCCTTTATTCCTTCACTCCCTCCCTCAACTTTGCCCCTTGACTGAAAGTCACTGCTTCTCACAAGATCACAAATTCTACATGATTCTACTCCTGGGTTCCAGCCACCGCTTCCTTTCTTAGTCCCTTTGGACCTGAGAACGTCAACACTTCTGCTGTGTCTAGCCCGGGGTCATCACACAGTGCCTTGTCCCTTGGCAAATGGTCCCTGCCTAAACCAAAAGTTTCCGAATTATCCTAGTTTGACCATCTATTAACAGTGTGGTTTGTGAATAAGATCCCCAAACGTGCAGATGCATAAGAGGAAAAAAATAATGAACTGAGAGGTGAGACTAGAAAGCAAAGGTTTCTTGTGGGCAGTTGTCACATTGCTGTGGCATTTCCTTTCTCCTCTCAGTGGACAGAGAATGTGGTGGGATTGGCCTGCAACCTGGGAACATGGGATTGGATCCTTGCCTCAAGTCTGGGAACACGTCAACAATTGTGCACAGTGATGGCCCTGTACTTTCAGAGTTTGGAGAGGCCAAGCCTCTGCATCCAATGGGAGGTCCTCTAAGAGATCTCTTGGAAAGGGAAGGGAATTCCAAGAAGTGGTCCTGGGGCTGTAAGAGACCAAGAGACCAGGAGGAGAAGGCATCTCCCACCTCAGAGTAGCTTTCGTCAGAGATTCTAGGTGGGAGGGAAGAGGGAATCTTCAAGGAACTCCTCTCTGCACAGAGGGCCCTCATGCCATAGTCCAGCTCTAATGAGCAAATCAAGCTCTGCTGTCATACTATCTCTTCTTCCCTCCCCTTACACTCCACACCAATGAGGCTCAAAACATCAGCAGATGAGCAGAGGAGGGAATAAGATAAGAAGGAGAGAAAGCCAACCCACCCATCTCCCTACTTTCAAGTCTCCAAGCATTAGGCAATGTTGACCTGGAGGGGGCTCATGAGGGTGGAGTTCTGTGCAGTTTGCAATACCCCAAAGTGATCTGATGCTACGGGAGAATGAGCCAATGTGGCAGGACACAGGAATTGTCATGGGGCATGCACTGTGCTCGCACACTATGGGGCCTACCTCATTCAGCTGTGTTTCAGCTGAGAAGATAACTGTGTCTCACCTAACATCTGGAGGGGGAAAAAATGCTAACTTACATTTCTACCACACAGTGGGGTAGAAAACTGTTAAAAAAAAAAAAAAGTTAGGGATCCACCACACAGTGGGGTAGAAAACTTAAAAAAAAAGTTAGGGATCCTTCCCATCTCCTAAGCAGAACTTTAGTTTTAGCAAATGAAACACAGCAGAAGGAATCTGAGGTGGGAGGGAACATGTTTAAAAGCAGAAACGTTAGAAGACTCTGAAGAAAGGGCTCCCTGTACTCTAGAGACACAGCCCTTTCTGGAATATCTCCCTCCCTGCTCCTAATTGGTCATAAAACACTTCATGTTGATCTGAACCAGTTGTGGGAATCTTTCCCATGGGAATGATGCAAAATTGGTCACCAGGCCAGGATGGTGAAAATGGTTAAAAAATTGGTCACTAGGCCAGAATGACGACCATGGAAAATGGTTACATGGACCCTAGAGCAAAGGTGACCAGCTGAGGAGAAAGTAAAAAAGAAAAGCTATCTGGGGCAATCGTAACCTTGTATCAAGGAGAAACACTTCTCTAAGAACTAGAATGTCTGGGGCTTCTAAAGACTGACAGGTGACAAGTAAGAAAGCACAGATCAAGAAGAAGGGGAGAGGGCGCCTGGGCGGCTCAGCTGGTGGAGGGTCGGACTCTTGATTTCAGTCTAAGTCTTGATCTCAGGGTCCTAAGTTCAACTCCTATGTTGGGCTCCACTCTGGGTGTGGAGCCTACTTAAAAAAAAAATAGAGAGAGAGGGATGGGGGGGGTTCAGCTTTTTATCAGATTTCATACACTGGTGTGATAGGCAAAATCAGAGCTTTGTATACTGATACGTCAATGCAGTATACAAAGATCACAATCCAAGAGTCTAGAGAAGAGTTATGGGTTAGCCCACCTCAACAGACACGGACTGCCTAATCAACATTAAACACTATCAAAGAGTACATACAGACAAAAACAAATGACTTTTTTTTTTTTTTAATGAATCTGTGGACACTCCAGCCCCAAATGCCAAAGATCTCTTCCTTCTAGAGTCTCATTCAATTAAGTCCCAACTTCTCAACCTTGGCACTAATGACATTCTGATGTGATCCCTCTTTGCTGCGGGAGGGAGCTGACATGTGTGCACTGTGGGATGTTTAGCACCACCCGGCCTTGACCTGCAAGATACCAGTCACACTCCCCAACTTCATCCCCACTTGTGACAACCAAAGATATCCACAGATATTACCAAATCACTGGTGACTGAGAACCACTGGATTAAAAGTCTTAATTTATTTCTGGTATAACAGCGCAATTTCATGCCCGTGTACCTCTTACACTGGTTTTATCCAAGATCTGAATTTCTCAGTTTCCCAGAGTCCTATCTCCAAAAAGTCACTCTTACCTATCTCTAATTTGAAGAAAGCTTGCGATAAGGGACACACATCCTTGACGGGCAACTTATAGACCATCAGGGAGGAGTACCTGCGAGGAAAGGAGAGGGAGACTGAGCCCCACATTTCAAGAAGACAACCATGGATGCCTGCATGTCTAAAAAGCAGCAACAATGTCACTAACAATTTGTTTCAATGTACGAGTCTACAGACCCATGGACACAGTGGTAGTGGGAATGTTCTTTAATCAACAAGAAGTCACTTTACTCAAGCAGAAGCAGGAGGGGGCTCTCACAGTAAGACTCCCTTTTACTCTCAGGAGGAATGGGAGACAGAGGAGACGAGCAGTACTCCAAGAAGGGAAGAGGCAGGATTACTTATCATCCTTCTTCCTTAGTGAGAAGAGAAAGCATTTAAGTACAAAGAACTAAGACCAGCTTCTGGCTCCACTGCTAGGATTTGGTATGATGAAAATGACCTCAAGTGCAATTAAATAATAATAATAATGCTAAGAACCACCACTCACTGAGCTTTTACTGATGCCTGGCACCGGGTCTCGGCTTTGAACAAGTGGCCACATTTAATGGGGGATGTTTTTACCCTCTAGAAAGGATCTCGATGACCTAGGTCCATGCATGCCTTAAGACCTGGCACATGATAGAGCTGCCAGGAATCTGAATTCCCTTACAACAATCAGCTTCCCAATCAGTACTTTGCTCTCTTATTTCCCTTTTGCGGAAGGAAATTCCCTTAGAATTGGGCCTTTCTTTAATAATTAATCAATAAATAAAATCACAATTAATTAATTAGAGGTAGTCTCTAATTAATTAAATCACAATTATCATAAAGTTAACAACAACAGCAACAAAAGAATGATCAAGTAAAGCTTTTATTTCTCTTCGTCATAACAGGAAAAACAAAAGGATGAAACAAGCCAACACCTGTCCTTACCTTTCCTGCCTAGCAGCCTGGGGGAAAAGTCTCAGAATTTCACAGTGGAGGGGCTCCACCTGGGCAGGGTTCTTCACCTTCAACTCGAGCAGATAATCTTTCCCAAATTTGCTTTTCAGGTGTTGTATGGAACCAATACACCTGGAGGTAGGATGAGGATGAAGTCAAGGAAGAGAAGGAGAAGACAGAGGGATTGCCGTCCACTCTCAGCCCCAGGAGGCCAGGGCTGTGCGGAGCGGGAGTAGCCAGTCACCCCAGCCCCTGCCAGTGATAACACTGTGTAATGCAACGTCTTTGCTCAGGGCCCTCTGGGGGGCCACGGGTGGGTTTGAATGGGCACCCACCTCAGCCTTCCAGACACCATGATGGCCACGCGGTCACACACGGCCTCCGCCTCTGCCATGTAGTGGGTGGTCAAGAGGGCGCCCCTCTCCGTGTTCCTAAAGGTGGCCCGGATCGCCTGCCTAAAGGGAGGTCAGGGGCAATGTTAGCTGCTGGGAATGCTCAAGATAAGATAAGAAGACTTTGAAATACCTTTCACAGGCACAGAGGAAACAACTAGTGAATTCGACTTAGACAAAGAAATGAATTTTGGAGGGAGAACGTCATGTAAATACCCAAACTATTGGGCAGAGTATATAATTCAGAACATGGCTGGGGCTGAAGGTAGAAGATGATATTGGGTAAGAGTTCATTTAGAAAAATACTGAGTTCCAAGAATATGTTTGAGAGAGCAGTGGGAAGAAAGAAAATGAGGAACACTTATTTAAAAGCATGATAAAAGTCACATAAGCCCTAAAGTACAAAACAGCAGATTTCTGTATAGTCCTAAGAATTTGAGATTTTTTTTCCTTGTAAGAACTATGTATCAGGTGATGCTGTAGAAATTGAAACTGGGGCCGCCTGGGTGGCTCAGTGGGTTAAGCCTCTGCCTTCAGCTCAGGTCGTGATCTCAGGGTCCTGGGATGGAGCCCTGCATCATCCCTCCTTAGCAGGGAGCCTGGCCCCCTCCACCCCCACCTGCCTCTTTGTCTACTTGTGATCTCTGTCTGTCAAATAAATAAAATCTTAAAAAAAAAAAAAAGAAATTGAAACTGAATAATAGATTGACGTGGTTGAGTATAAAAATGGGCCATGCATATCCCAAAGATCTATCATGAAAACAAGATTCTTAAGAGGATTATGGTGTTAGAATTATCTTTTTTTTCTTAATACAAATTGACTGTGATAGGGGCATCAGAGTTTTCTCCCCTGAATATTGCATTTCCTGATAATGGGTTGTCTTCTGCCTTATAAACCACAATTTTGAAGATCAGTTGTTATAGGGCTCACAAGTTCCCTTGGGATGACTCATGACATCCCCTCACCACATTTGCAGCTGCCCCTCGGTGTCCATGCTGGTGGAGGGCTCGTCCAGAAGCACCACCGATGGATTTCCCAGGATGCTCAGCGCAAAGCAGAGCTGCAATGAGAGGGACAAGTCTGGCACCGACCTGGGGTGCACAGAGTGACGCTGAGCCCCCCTCTTACCTTCCTCTTTATTCCCTCAGATAAAGCCTTCACGGGCTGCTTCAGCTGGTCCCGCAGCTTGAGCGCATCCGCCAACCTGGAGGAAACACAGTGGGTCCATCCACATGAACCCCACACTAAGGGGAATGTGTGTGGGGGATGGGCAAATCGGAACAAACAGTACATTAGAGACGTTTTTAAAAAGAGTATCCTGAATGATCATGCAATTGAAACCACCTAGATGCCTTAGGAGCTTTTTAATAGTGGTCAAGTTCATATTTTTCAATGACTAATATGGACTAATATTCCATATTAAGAATAATCAATAAAATTGTTCTCTCTAGGTTTAACATGTGAAAATACAACACTCCACTGGCTTCTTGATAGCTGTCTTCTCCCACAGGTGCGGTGTCATCGGTTAGAATCTCCCTTTCTTAATTCTCTGTGAACGTCATTCCTATCATATTCCCCCAGTGGAGAACGTGTGTGTCACCCCCCATGTACCGTGTGATGGTGACTGTTGCGTCCCCTTTCTCCAACCCTTTGATGGCAGCGAAGACCTCCAGATGTTCCCTCACTGACAGGTTGGGCCAGAGCACATTCTCCTGAGGACAGTATCCCAGGAACCCGAGGGAATCCCCCTCACTGCTCCCTTTCAAAATCACCTGCACAGAAAGTTCATTTTCGCATTCAGTCCAAAATTGTGTATACATGTGTATGGCACATGAGTGCAAAATTCAGTGATGTCCTCGTCTTACACACATAGCTGCCAAGAGTGCAAATGTAAATCAGTGATCACTTAGCTGTAGGAGAAAGATGGTAAAAAACTAAAAAAAAAAAACAAAAAAAAAAACAAAAAAAACCCCTCAATAAATCAAAAGGAAGCTATTCCACATTGTCCTATACCTCTATAGGGTTTGTTTCCAAGTCTGTTACCTTGGTTGGCTTCAGGGTGGCTTGCTGGGTTTTCGCTGTTTGACTTCCCTCACTGATCTCAACGTTCAAAGGAGTAGACACTCATTGAAGGTTCTATTTCCCCAATGTTAAACGAGCTATAATTATAGGGTCTGTTGCACAAGTTTATTGTGAGCATTAAAAATGGCAGTGCTTCTCAATCAGGGGCGATCTTCCCAGAGGACATTTGGTAATGTCTGGAGATGTTTGTGGTTGGTACATTGGGTGCTGCTGGGATCACATGGCAAGAGGCTAGGCATGCCACATAGGATGGTCTACACATGCAAAAAACGGGGCTAGCCCAAAATGTTACCAGCACCAAGCTTAGGAAATCCTGAACTAAGATAATAAATGAAAGGTCCTTGGCACTAGTCCGGCACATAGAAACCAATAAATACTAATAAATAGCATTTATTATTTTTATGAGCCAATCACAGTGCTTTACAATAATATAAATAAGTGATGTGTACCAGTGCTTACTGTGTGCTAGGATCTAAGCAGTTTATGTGTTTTGAATTACTTTATCCTTAGAAAAACCCTATATGACTCAGGTATCACTTTTAGAAACTGATTTAGAGTTCAGAAACTTGCAGAAGGTCACACAAGGTAAACCTGGGGGTTTAAAGCTGGACTCTGCCTTCAGAATCCAAGCCCTTGACCTCAACGCTATGCTGTCTTTTCCAAATACAGTGGAGAAAAGAACTAGTTAATGTGGGCTCACAGAGCATTCACTCTAGAGAGAGAAATGGAAAATAAAAACAACTAGACCCATATGGTGATGAATTATATCCCCTGCTTAATGCTTTCCAGGCAATAAACAGGATAAAGAATAAAAAAGGAGGATCCAAGGTTGCCATGAGTAGAGTCAGGGAAAGTCCTTTTGGGGAGGTAAATTTCAAAGTGACAAGAAGGAGGTAACTAAGTGCAAACCCGAAGGAGAAACACTGTAGCCAATGGAAGGTCCTACAGAAGGACAATGACCAAAGGCCAATGTCAGCAAGAAGTGAGCAAAGCCCAGATCTCACAGGGCCTTTTTTTGGCCATGCTAAAGGTTTTGGATCAATTCTAACTGAAGGATGATAAGCAGGAGAGTGACATGACTTCAGTGGCATCTTTTATGGGCCGTTCTGTCTGCTATGTGAGGAGAGACAATTTGGAAACCTCTGTTGCAATTCACACTGCTAGAAAATCTCTCTTCATGGCCCCTCCCTCTGCCCTCAACCTTCGGTCAAACGTCAGCAGCAGCTCCTCCTCAGTGTTGTGGTCCCTGAGGACGTCTGTCCATCATTTTATCCCACTTGGTCTAGATGTACGGCCAAGTAGCATTCACATACCATTCTAGTTTTTTTTTTTTTTTAAGATTTTATTTACTTATTTGACAGAGAGAGATCATAAGTAGACAGAGAGGCAGACAGAGAGAGAGAGAGAGGGAAGCAGGCTCCCTGCTGAGCAGAGAGCCCGATGCGGGACTTGATCCCAGGACCCCAAGATCATGACCTGAGCCAAAGACAGCAGCTCAACCCACTGAGCCACCCAGGTGCCCCACCATTCTAGTTTTTGATTGGGAATTTAGACAATCCTTCCCCCCCACCCCAATCTATGGTCTGTTTTCTGAATAAATCCCAGATCTTAGCAATTTAATTCAACAAATTCTCAGGATCCATAAGTCAAAAAATAAAAAGTAAAAAAACCCAAAGATCCCTGACCCGAATAAAGCTAGTATTCAGCTTTACTTTTACCAAAACATTTCCTTTTAATGTCACTACTTTTCATTCAATGGAACATATGGTGTCAGTAACATGGCGTGCTACTAGTTTTGGAATTAAGGTGAGAAGTTTTTAATTCATCCTCTCATTCTATGCATAACTCAATGGATTCATAAGAAAGGATCATTTATGTATTTTTGAGACTATCATCAATGTTCACAGGTTAGAGCTTGTTCGAGGCAGCATTAAGGACCCTATTTCTGTGTGGTTTACTGACCTGTCCTGCGGTTGGATTTGTATCTCCAGTTATCATCTTAATAGTTGTACTTTTGCCAGCTCCATTGTATCCTAAGAGCCCTATAACTTCACCTGAAAGAAACAGGTATGCTTAGAATTATAACGTCAAATAATTATAATAAACCTAGAGGCAAATACTCCTGGAGGGCTCACTATGTGTCAGGCTCTCTGTCGAGTGCACAGATGTATTAATTCATTTGTTCTTCACACACACACACACACACACACACACACACACACACACAAATAGGTGTTGTTACTGGCTTCGTTCTATAGGCAAAGAAACTGAGGGGTAAGGAGGATACATAACTTACCCATCGTCACAAGCCACTAAGATACTGGAATGGAAACAAATTTTGATCTCAAGTCTGTCGCATTTAACGGACACTTCCCCAAAATGTGTTTTTTAGAATAGAGACTGCACTGCTGCACCCCAGTGAGTTCCTCCTGGGTGCATTCCTGTTTTGAAATTAACGATACTCCTTCAAAAGCTACAGCATCCTTCTTAACAGAAAGACTGCCTTTTTTTTTTTTTTTTTGGCAGTTGTTCTTTTTTTGTTTGTTTGCCTGTTTCAACAGAACAGGCAGAACTGTCTTCTCAGACCAAGAGAAAACATTGTTATCGTAATCGAGGCGTTTAAGCAGGAGGGTTCTGCACGTGCCTGTGGGTGACAGGCTGCCTTTCGAGATTATCAACAGATGGCCCCCAATTCAGATACTATTATTCCCTCCCAAAGACCTCGTCTCAGGAGGTCAAGATAGCTTTAAACATTAAATCTAGTGTCTCCAACCTTTTTTAACACAGAAAGAGACATTTCTTATGGCCACTTTTTTCTTCCTCTTAGCGAAGCAGTCTTTCTTCTTGCCTGTGTATTCCTTCCGCAGGCAGCTAGCAATGATGACGGGTTTCTGTAGAGACAAGAGAATAACAGTGGGGCTTTATTCTTACCTTGAAATGAGGGAGTGCACCACATTCCCTACAACCACATTTTTCCCTGTACAGAATCATGACTCAGACAAGTTCTTTCCCCAGAAACTGCCATGTTCAAGTCAACTCTCCCAATCTATATTCCTGCAGGGAAATAACATTTGTATTGTATTGCATGATCTATGCTTGACCTTTCTCAGAAAAGAGGACCAGAGACATCCACCAAATCAGTAGGACTGTTCAGACACACACTCACACACGCACACATGCACACAAACACACAAACATCTCAGATGGACTCTCATCTTGCAATAAGCTTTACTCAGTCCATGAAACTCACAAAGTCTTACTTCCTTAGGTTTTGTAATGTGTAGCTTTTCTTACCCAAACTACAACCCCGGAAAAGCAATTAACAAGTTTGTGCCTGTGGGTATGGGTGTGTATTCCCTGGTTCTCCTATCTCTGGGGACATTGCATATTCCGCGAAGTCAAGGAATGAGCTCTGTAAGGACAGAAGAACTGCAAAGTGTTTTTCAAAATATTCAGATGAACGTTGTTCATCATTCTACCTCATCAAAGTCTGCAATGGTCCTAGCATTTGTGGTTCTCCTTCTTTCTATCTGAACATCTTCATCCTCTCCTTCGGGTTCTTCTGGGTTTGGAAAAATGCCACTGCTTCTTGGGGAAATTCTAAAATCAAAACAGTGTGAGAATTACTGGTCTCCAGTTGAAAAACTTGCAGCAAAAATAATGAGCTTGCTGTAGACTGCTCTCAATTATGTGAAAAGATTCACTCTGAGAACAATACAACCCCCATTTTTCAGCTCTGCGCCATCTGCCTTGCAAAGAGCCTGGTTTCCATCAACAAGTCAAATGATGCTACTCTTGCTTTTTCCCTAGTTTTACTTTTCTTCGACTGTTGTGACTTTAAAAAAATAAATAAATAAAACAGGACACACTCTCTGGCAAATGATTTTGGGGCATAGTTGTGTGAGAAAGGCATCTAGGAACCATAATTTTGGCACAGGTAATTTGGAATTCTGAAGACTTTGAGAGAACTGTGGGTTGAAACATTTGGAATTCGAGATGCATCCCAGAAAAATCCAGGACACGTAAGCACCAGTAAGTGAGCACTGTCACTTCTTAGAGATATGTTTTAGAATCACTCCTTCCTGACTGCTATCCACCCAGTTCTTTCCTTCATCACCCCTACCACTGATTACTGCTTATGCTCATCTCCCTCCTTCATGCCATCGCAAATGGTTGCTGTCTGCCGATCTCCTAAAATATGGCTGTCACCTTGTCATGCTCCTGCCCTACTACCTACTTTACACTTGAACTGGATTCATATTTTGTGAGTTAGACGAGGTTTCCAAAACATAGCTGTCTTGATTTCCCATTATGTAATTTGCAAAGTCTTCCCTATGCTTCTGTACTCCAAAACCCTCCAAAATTTAGCTTTAATTTAATTTTTCATTATCTGCCAGTACAAACCTGTAAGTTCTTTCCAGCTGTCTTCTCAATCTATAGGAAGGTAGCATTTATATCAGCTTCTGCTTTTTTCTACCTTCCTGGACTGGCTATACTTACCAATTGTTTATCTATATTTACCCATTATTTTAAAGATTTTATCTTCCGTATATAACTTTCTTTTAGTATGTCAGTGAAATTATGGTATTCCTTAATTTTTCAGTGTCTCATGTGTGTTAATGTGGTTTCCCTCCCTAGATTGTAAGCTCATTAAAGTATCATGAATTAGAATAATTTTGTACAGTACACAATTCCTAAAAAAAAATCCTGTGCGGTAATTTTTACTTAATTAGCTTAGGCATATTAAAATATTTTTAAACAATGAAGATTAAAATAAAACATGAAATCATATTTAAATTTTCTCAACCTGAACACGGGATCTTTTCTCATTGATTTCTTTCTAAAGCTCACTTCCAGACACCGGAGAACAAAAATGAATATGCAAAAGTGAAGGTAAGGCTAAGGGGAGAAAAAAACAATCAGTGTTAGAAATCACCATAAAAAACAACAAGTTCAATACTGGAATTTATTTAAGGAGTTTGACTGTATGTACAAAGACAGATCTGATAACATTTTGACAAGTTTGAAAGACAATCTTTTAATGTCCAGTGAAACTCTCAGAGCTAGCTCTTCAGAGAAGCCACAACAGACTAGACAGTAGTAAGTTGGCACCAGGACTAATCACACCATTGAGAGTTTGGGCTCTAAACTCCATGTCAAATGATTATTATAAGAATAGCAGTCCAAATTTTAAAGTATGTGTGTGTGTGTGTGTGTGTGTTGCTTCAGATGCCTAAAATACTGTGTTTTCAAGTGCCGAAGTTAAACTTTTTAACTTAATGCTAAGCAAACAAATGTGTCCCCCTCATGCAAGAACATCTAAATGGAATGTATTCTTACTATTAGCAGTGCCAGGAACACGATTTGATGTTCTGAAGCCCCTAAGTAATCCATAGAGTCAGGAGAAATCTGTAAAATGAGGAAAGGTAAGTTTAGATGAACCTTTATCTGTTCTCGAATCTCATCTCACATAAGATGCACCAATGTCCTTTAAATGACCTTGCCAGTGTTCTCTCTGGTGCATCAGGTAAAAGTCTACTTCTGACCTCGCTATGTGTCTTCTTGGCGTGCAGGGTCACTCAGTGACCTCTTCCGCTGTGCTGGACTAGAGGCTCAGATGCTCTTAGAACACTGGGAGTTGGCAGGATTTGCCTTCCTAGGAAAAACACTGGGTGGTGCTGGCAGGATCCATTGAAGCCATAGGCAAGATTTATCTTAAGACAAACCCTTTCCTCTAACTTTTACCTGCCTTTCTTCCTAAATCTGTGCTCCTTCCCTAAGAACCATTACATAGCTCGTCCCTTGCTCCATCCACTCTTAAGAATAACCATGACAATCACTCATGCTACAAAGCTCTTCACCTACAGTTCTGCATGGTTTTCATTAGATTTACAACACATGCATAATACACATAATATTCGTGCACAACATGTAAGTGCACGATTTTCATCAGATTCACAATAGATTTTGAAATGTCCCCCGACTTCTTAGTAAATAAAGAGTAAAAGGCCAGTTTTGCTTCTTGAGCTTCATTTCCCAGGACTTTTTTCTGAGCAATGGTGAGCTGACTTAGTAAATCTCTATCATAGCCATCCGTCTCTATCACAGCCATCTAGAAAAGATGATTGTGTTCTTCTCCTTGAATGGTTTGCCAGGACCCTGACATTATTTCAAATGATCTTATTCTCCTATGTGACTTTGTCACCTGCTTCCAAACACTACTACACCCAAAATCAACTTTAAGCCCCCTATCTTTGCCCTATCTACCATATTTTATTTTTTCAGCTTTGTCACTCTACTCTCCTTACTCCATAATTTGGAGTTGGTGACCCTCCATAATTTGGAGTTGGTGACCCTCCAACCCACCAACCCCACCACTGTCTCGCTGTCCATAAACCCCCTCATTTCCTTAATTCTTCATTCCGCATAGAATCCATGGTCTGTTGCTACAATCCTTCCTTATAAGGAACCACTACTTAGTTATTCTTTTCTTTGTCAGACTCCCTTGGCAAAACACTAACCCTGATTGAAAGTAACTCCGCCTGCCCTGAACGGTATCTGGGAAGGAGACTATGATAAGAAAAACTATCAGCTTTGCTGACTACACTTGGAAAGTAGGGCAAGGGATCTTTTAGCACTGCCTGTCAATTCTTCTGACCTACTTTCTGAAATAATTGTTCACATCCTTTCCTCTATCCTCAACATCCCAACACCCCTGTTCACCTCACTCAAAGTTAAAAACGTCATCTCTTTCCATAAGAAAGTAGGATCACTCAGAGGAGAATCATGTGTCTTATTACCATCCAAGCAACTAAACTATTTGCCTCTGGCTATGGTCTTGATAAAGAGATAGAATGTTCCTGCTATGATGGAAAGCAACCTCTCTGCTTGGGCACTATACCATATATATTTTTTTTTTCCTCAGCTATTCAAGGAGTCAGACTTCTTAGGTAGTTCATGTCTCTCTTTTCATCAGAAACTTCTCTCTTATAAGCATGTTATCTCCCTTCTTAAACGGAAATGTATTCTTCTCATTCATCTACTTTTCCATCTCTGTTATTCTTTTCAGCAAAACTAGAAATAGGTGTCTCTACCCCTGCATTACCTTCTCATCTCACAGTATCTACTAAGCTCACTCTAGTTAGGTTTGGTGTTCACCTTTCCCTTGAATTCTATCTGATTAATATCACCAATGACTTCCATGTGGTCTCCATCCAGTGGTCTCTTCTCAGTCATCAACTTTCTAGACCTCTTGTTCGATGGTTGAATCACTCTCTTCTGCCTAAAATATTCTTTATTGCCACCTGGAACATATCTGCCCATACAGACATTTTAAGTGTTTAAGGAGAGTTTCTGAGAAGAGATTCTGGTGCACAACCATCCTTCACTTTTTCTTCTACCTCATGGTCTCCTCCTCAACCTGACTTGCTGACTCTTTTGACCAATCTTTAAAGTTTGGATTCAAGGCCAAATCTTTGGCCCACTTTTTATTCTAACTATATTTGTTCTGTAGGTTATATTATCTAGTGCCATGGCTTTAGATATCATTTATGCGCTGATGCGTGTCGAGCAACCACAAGCAGGATTTTAGATTCATACATCCTGCTGGCTATTTGGCATTTCCCATTGTATGCCCATTAGGAAACTTAAAACCAGTATGTCCAAAATTAACAGAAAAAGCACAGCTCATTAGCCTCCCAGCAGGGTCATTTGTTCCCAGGAGAGAGGGTTATCATGAGAACTATAAAATTCCACCTCTGCAAAGATGCCTTTGACCTTCATGAACCAAGGCAGAGCTTCTTATTAAATAATGTGACTCTTGCCTTTGTAAAAGAATGATCTTTCCAAAGACAGAGACTTTGAATTTTGTAGATAAGGACTCCACCAAGATTTTTACAGTATTCTAGGCTATCTCCAGTGGCCGCACACTTCATGACCTAAGGACAGGCATGAAATTACTTACCTCAGAGAAAATGAACAGAGAACCAATCAGTGAGAAAGGTGGTATTAATATAGTGCAGAGAAATAACCCTAGAAATCCATATTCATTTATATCTGTAGCAACTATTGTGAAGATGGTGATCTAAAAGGAAAAAAAGAACAAGTGCAGCTTAATTTCACTAATGCGTAAAAAAATCTGAATTTTAGGATGTTTTCCAAGAGGGTGGGAATTCATCTTGTAAATGTTCTTATTTTCAGCTTTTCCTCACAAGGCAGTATTACCACCATTTTTTTTTCTTTGCAGCACAAGATTGTGTCAGAATTCTGTATTTGACTGACTATGATATTTTTAAGACACAACAGGGCTCTCAAATTCAATGTGCTTGCAAATCATTTGGAGTTCTTGCTGAAATTCAGATTCTGACAAGAGGGATCTTTTTCACACATTGCTCAGTCTTTTCCTTTTGTTTAATTTCACAGGAGATCACAGACATCTGTTTGGATTTAAACATACCAGTATTCATTTTCACAGCTGCATAGTATTTCTTTGAAAGGATGTGCAAGAATTCAACAATTTTGCCTTCAGAAAATATGTTGTTCCAATTTCTCTGCTCCTATAAATAATGGTCTACCTAAATCCTTATCTATTAGCACTCTTTATCTTTATCTTTTAAAGATTTATTTATTTTGTTTTAGAGAGAAAGACAGAGTGTGAGCACAAGTGGGAGGGGCAGAGGGAGAGGGAGAGAGAATCCTCAAGCAGACTCCACACTGAGCATAGAGCCAGACATGGGGCTCAATCTCATAGCCCTGAGGTCATGACCTGAGCTGAAACCGAGTCTGGTGCCTCACTAACTGTGCCCACCAGTTGCTCCAACACTCTTAGTCTTTTAGGAAAGATTCTGAGAAGTGTAAATACAAGTTAAGATTTATGTGGATTCACACTGTCAACAGTTACTAACAGGTTATTTTTCAAAAAGATGGTGACAGTTTATGCTCTTACAAACAGGGATGGGTGTGTATGTTAGACCTCCTCATGCACACTGGGTGCTTTAATTAATTACTGTAGGTGTCCTTGTTTTACTGCTGATATTAGGTGAATAGCTGCATAAGTTTACTATGTCCTATAATATTTGTCATTGGTTTTTAGTAATTTGTCCTTCCTGTGCTTATACTTTTTATTGGACATTTTTAAAGGAATGGTATAGTGTTTTCTTAACTGATACAGTTTTCCTCTGTTAGTTTGATAGCTCCTAATAGAGGATCAACATTGTAATTTGAAATAAATCATACTGAACTAGTCTTCTTCTTTTAATTTACTTCTGCTTTGTCATCTTTTTATTTAGAGAACTGTCTTTGATTTTCCAAATTAATTTATCAATGATTTTCTTTTTTACTCTCTTTTTCTTAGGATTTGTAGTAAAGTTATGTTCACTTTATAAAAGGAAATATTATACTTTGTGAATTATATATATATCTTAAATATATATAAATATTTATATATTATATATTATATAATATATATAAATATTACATATATTATATGTAAATATATATTTTATATATATTTATGATTCCCAAAGTTATTCAACTTTATGCATCTTTAACAGAATTCAGTGTTCCTTACCAGTGGTTTTATAGCATTTTAAATTTTCTTAAATTATTTTTATTTATTATTTAATTTAAAATTTTTTCAGTGTTCCATCATTCATTGTTTATGCACCACACCCAGTGCTCCATGCAATATGTGAGCTCCTTAATACCCACCACCAGGCTCACCCAACCCCCCACCCCTCTCCCCTCCAAAACCCTCAGTTTGTTTCTCAGAGTCCAAAGTCTCTCATGGTTTGTCTCCCGCTCCAATTAGTTTAATCCTTAAATGGTTCTCCTTCCCCCCACGCTGTTTTTTGAGATATAATTGACATATTCCATTGTGTAAGTTTAAAATGTACAATGTGATCTTTTGATACACATATACACTGTGAAACAATTACCAAAATAAGGTTAGTTAACACACCCCTATCCTTATATAGTTACCTTTTTGTTGTTGTTACAATGAGAACACTTAAGATCTACTCTTTTAGCAACTTGCAAGTGTATAATACAGTATTGTTAACTATCATCATCACGCTGTACATTAGATCCCAACAACTTCTTCGTCTAATAACTTAAAGTTTATACCCTTTGACCAACATCTCCCCATTTCCCTCACCCACAGCCCCTGGTAATCAGCATTCCTTTCTGTTTTGATAAGGATGGTGTTTTAGATTCCACACATACATGAGATCACACAGTATTTGTCTTTTTCTGTCTGATTTATTTCACTTAACCTAATCTCCTCAAGGTTAATCCTACAAGGGGCAGCAGTTCCTCCTTTTTATGGCTGAATAATACTCCACTGTATGTATATACTACATTTTATCTATTCATCTGTCAGTGGAAAATTAGGTTGTTTCCAATAAACATGGGGAGCACACATCTCTAAGAGATAATGATTTCATTTCCTTCAGATAGATACCCAGAGGTACATACCTGGATCATACAGTAATTCTATTTTTTTAATTTTTGAGGAAACTCCATATTTTTTGCATAGTGGCTGCACCACTTTATAATCCCAGTAACAGTGTAAAGTATTCCCTCTTCTCCACATCCTTGAGAGCATTTCTTATCTTTTGTGTTTTTCTTGATAGTCTAACAGGTGTGAGGTGATATCTCATTGGGGTTTTGATCTGCATTTCCCTGATGATGAGTCATACTGAGCTTGTTTTCACATACCTGTTACTATTATTATTATTATTATTATTATTATTATTATGCTATTGAGTTATACAATTTCCTTACATATTTTAGATATTAACCCCTTACCAAATACATGGTTTATAAATATTTTCACCATTCCATAAGCTTCCCTGTCATTTTATTGATTGCTTTGCTCTGCAGAAACTTTTCAGTTTGACACTGTCCTTCTTGTGGATTGTGCTTTTAAAAATCATATTCTTAAAATTATTTAAAAATTATTTGAAAATCAAATAATATGTACTGTGTGCATACTTACAATTAAGAAGAAAAATGACCAAATACCACTATTTTTTCTCCTATTGCGAAAAATGAATGAAATCACGTATGTCAAGAAAACCAGAGATGAGACATATCCAATACTACATAAGATCTGAAAATAGAAATATTAAGGTTGGATAAGGTAAATCGAAACCTAGGAAAGCATTCATACTGAAACCTCAACTTTCCAAACTATGCTATAGCAAAGGTAATTTGAAATTCTTTAGTTTAAGATTAATAATGTCATTTCAGGGGCGCCTGGGTGGCTCAGTGGGTTAAAGCCTCTGCCTTTGGCTCAGGTCGTGATCCCAGGGTTCTGGGATCGAGCCCCGCATCAGTCTCTCTGCTCAGCAGGGAGCCTGCTTCCCCTCTCTCTCTTTCTGCCTGCCTCTCTGCCTACTTGTGATCTCTGTCTCTCAAATAAATAAATAAAATCTTTTAAAAAAATAATGTCATTGCATTCATGAAATATAGGCTAATAAAACTATCTCATAATTTTTGCCACTTACCTGAACTAACAGGTTTTGAATTATATATATAATCTCATCTGGGCTAAAAACATAATCCATTATTTGCATCAGAAGGAGGATCAAGAAGTAGAGGGGAATATCCATCAGCGCCTGGCCAAACCAGTAAGCAGAAGGGTAGAGGCCTGAAATCCGTAGCTGGGAGTAAACTTTTCTCTGGGAAAGAAAAGGAAGAATCATCAAAAGTGCTGAGTAGTTGAGGCTTGAGAAACTGCAAATATGTGGTCACATAATCATTCATTTTTGTGTGTGTGTTCCTTTCATGTATTATATTGATACAATAAATGACACTGTTACTGGCCATACTCCTCCTTTAGGGAGGATCAGTGGTAGTCCAAATTGCATGGTGACCTCATTGTCCAAAGGAGAAATGCACCAACAAAACCAGCCCACATTCCATCACGGAATGACTGGACATTGCCTCATTAAGATGCCTTTTCTTTTCTTTGCAAAGCTATTCTTCCTTTGGACACTAATGGAGACTTGTAAATCGTACAAAGATTCCAGAGATGTAGGTCTACAAATTCCCTGTAAGATTCTTCAAATTTATGATGGGTATAAACAGTCCTTTTATAATTGGCATTTTATTTTATGTCTAAGAAATGATCTTCTAACAAGTCAATTTTATTACTATCTTTTTAGGTTGGCATAAGAAGATGTCTGTTAAAACTAATAAGATAAAAATAAGAAACTTATTGTCTTGAAGTAAAGCACATTTTTCATTATTATGTATGAAAACTAGTAAGTAGATTTTGATATTGTGACCCACTCTAAGTTATATTGTTGTGGTGATTGTCTTAACACAAGGCTTAAAATATTACTTGAATTTTAACAGAAGCACAAAAGCAATGCTGAGTCTATATAAAGACATTCTTTAGGAAAAAAGTTAGAATGGAGATAAATATTCTGGAAAGGGAAGTGTACCTGGAAAAAAATCAGGAAAGAGAATGATAGCTAGGATGTGTTAGAGAGCTGAACTTTTTCTGTTCATTAATATGTTCAATATATGTTTACTGAGCACATCATGTGCTTTGTGTTGGTTACGGGGCCCTGGTGGAGGTCAAGTTGCAGAGGCCAAAAGAAATAAAGGTGATATGCAAACAGGTGTAGTGATAGCTACATAATTAAAATTGTGAAAACTAAAATTTAAGAAGTAAAAGTAAAAGTGTTAAGATAAGGGTCATAGAAGAGGTGAATTGTAATTAGGGGGTCTGTCAGAGAAGGTTCCCTTGTGAAGGGCCTGAGTGGGGGTCTAAGTGGTGAGTAGGAGTTGCACAGGTGACAGGTAGGGAGCACAGTAGGCAGAGAGCACAGGAGAGAAGACCTGTAGTGGGTACAGTTGGCCCTCTCAAGAAACTGGAAAGAATCCAGTTGGCTGGACATAGTTATCGACGTAATAGCGGCATCATATCAAAGTGGAGAGAGACATCTGGGTCCAGTTCATGCACTGATTTTCAGGCTACAGCAGGGATTTCATTCTTGCTCCTTGGTTTGCCAAGAAACCAATGGAGGGACATAGGTGAGTCATCAGTGTGGTCAGATGTGTGTGTTTAAGTACTTGTTCTGTCCCACTGGGTGGAGAATGGGTAAGGAGAAGACTAATGAGGAGCCATAGTAAGCATTTAAGGAGGCTGATGTGCTCGTCCAGATGATAGTGGCTCTGACCAGGGTGTTGTAGGAGAGATGGAGGAACATGGGAAGATTTTACGTAGATTTCAGAAGCAAATTCCATGACTTCACCATTAGCTGGCCATGGAGGCTAAGGAGAAAGAGGTATTAATATCATGGAGTTTCCAATTACATTTGCATTTTAGATAAATATCTTTAAAAAAATTTAGTACAAATATGTTCCAACTGAACGAAGCTAAAATGCATCTTAAAAGGGGCAGTCATTTTCAACAATAAGCCAAAGTTTCTGGGATGAATTGGTTAGGACTGTTTCACTGAGTAACTTCACCACCACCTCAAAGCGAAAACCATCACCAAGAGAGGCATTGTGATAATGTCAGAGGGTCGTGGCTACCAATCAAAATCTCAGCGATAAACCAGATGAAATCTGCCATTCCCTGTTAGTGGATGATACCTCCTCCACTGTCCTTCCCGAGGTCTCACTGCTGTTTAAGAAGAAAAGCATTATATTTGCCAACCTTTTATTAAAATGCGGGATGAGGGGCGCCTGGGTGGCTCAGTGGGTTAAAGCCTCTGCCTTCGGCTCAGGTCATGATCCCAGGGTCCTGGGATCGAGCCCTACATCGGGCTCTCTGCTCCGCAGGGAGCCTGCTTCCTCCTCTCTCTCTGCCTGCCTCTTTGCCTACTTGTGATCTCTGTCTGTCAAATAAATAAAATCTTAAATATGCCCTTCAAAAGACAAATGTATAAGGAAGATGTGGTCCATATACACTATGGAGTATGATGCCTCCATCAGAAAGGATGAATACCAAACTTTTGTAGCAACATGGACGGGACTGGAAGAGATTATGCTGAGTGAAGTAAGTCAAGCAGAGAGAGTCAATTATCATATGGTTTCACTTATTTGTGGAGCATAACAAATAGCATGGAGGACAAGGGGAGTTAGAGAGGAGAAGGGAGTTGAGGGAAATTGGAAGGGGAGGTGAACAATGAGAGACTATGGACTCTGAAAAACAATCTGAGGGTTTTGAAGGGGCAGGGGGTGGGAGGTTGGGGGAACCAGGTGGTGGGTATTAGAGAGGGCACGGATTGCATGGAGAACTGGGTGTGGTGCAAAAACAATGAATACTATTACGTTGAAAAGAAATAAAAAATTAAAATAAATAAATAAATAAATAAAATAATAAAATGCGGGATGACGCATTATTTCAAGCACGTAAATTTGGAGTGTCCCCCCCCTCCATATAAATGTATAGTCATAGAGCGGAGAAGGGGTCTCTGAGTAATAAGAACATGCAAGGACTTTGTTAAATCTCCTTACCTTATAGTCACCGACGCTGCTCATCGCAATGTATGGAGTGAAACAGGCTGCCACCGGGATCCAGAAGAAGGAGTTACTCAGGTACCCATGCTCATAAGACATGTGCTCCTGAAATCATGCAGAACACGTGAGCTGCTGGCAATTGCACACACAGTTCATTTGTGCTTAATCTTAACTAAGTCATTCAAATAGGTGAATTGGTGCTATGAAGAACGTGGGACAGCCCCCACCTCACCCCAAATCTCTGTAGCTTCCCAACAGCATGCAAGAGGCACTCAACAGTTCTCACAGCTCTTTCTGAAGAGGCATGGAGGTTAAGGCAGGGGTGGAAGTTGTTAACTGCCTGCATGATGGCCACATCAAGCAATGCAAAAGGGAAAGGGGAGAGCTTGACAGTGAGGACCTCTCCATAGCAATCAAAGGGAAATTCTGCTCAGCATCATCAAGTTCATCTCCATCTACACAAGGAACTGAGGTCAAAGCTAAACCTACCCAAGACAATCACACAGGTCACCTAGGCTGTGGTGGCCACGTACATAGAAGCTACAGGGAGCAGATACAACTAGAGAAAGCAGGATGTCTCCAGAGCACCATTTCTTCCTGTCTTAATCTCTCCATCTTTCCTCTCTGCTTCCAGCCCCAGCAGTGGAGAAAAAAAGGGGTGGGGAGTCCAGAGCAAGGTCACTCTCTCCTTTTCACTCCAAGATGTTAGACTAGAAAAGAGGGAAAAGGGCAAAGCCCACCACTGCCCATCCACCCACTTCACCCCCGCTGTAAGGCCACAAACTGACCCTGCGGTGTTTGAATTGGATAGGAAATTGAAGTTTTGGACAGCACTGGAATAATTCTTAATAACAATGAGTGACCAGGGAGCTGTAGAGGATGACTATGGTGTCACTTCAAGATGGCGAAGGGAGATTCAAGATGGCACCATGATGGAGATGCACGCCCTCCCCCCACTGAGAAGATTCTGACTCCTGATATGAGCAGGCCTGGTAAACTACATTTTAAATAAGAACTGCTTCTAGTCCAATTTCAGCCCATCTTGCTGATCTAGTCAAAGCTGAACCTTCTTTAATGGAAACCCAGTGTAATCCCAAGAAAAATAACACAAACAGCAATAGTGATAATGAGAGCAATTTATCAAGTGCCTGTGGTTTCCTATGCTTATGTGCCATCCTGTTCCTCTTTAACTCAGTCAACTGCACCTTGTGCTCACATTGCCTTATTTACATCTTAAGAAAACTTTGTGATGACGTTTTCATCTGTATTTTTTTTCCTTGTGGATTGCTGAACCAAGGGCTATAGAAGGTCAAGTTGTTGAGACAGCCACTTGTCTGGCCTTTAAGACTGTTTCAGCGAGGTCCCATTACCTACTGCCACAGGTGGTGACAGATCTAAGAAGCTATCAGTTCTTTTTCCCCAACTATTTGTCTTTTCTACTCTTCCACTGACCCCAAGTCATCCAATCCAGGTTATAAATCATCGCTAGATAATGTGTCTATGTATATATGTGTGTGTGTATCAACCCGTAAATGTAAACAACATGTGTGTAAAACATACACTTATTCAAGAACAAGTTCACAAGTTACTTCTGCACTTCAAGTGTCTTCTTGAAAACTTAAAGTTCAGGATAAGTGAGATAATATCATATTGACTTCAGGTGCACCTGGGTGGTACAGTCAGTTAAGCATCTGACTCTTGAATTGGCTCAGGTCATGATCTCAGTTGTGGGATCGAGCCCTGCATTGAGCCCAAGCTGGGCATGGAACCTGCTTAAGATTCTCTCTAACCCTCTCCCTTTGCCCCTCCCCACTCTGAAAATTTATACTTACTTCAAAATATGTACTTCTATCAGTCTGAATGCGTTCTGAAGAATTAAAAATTCCAAGTAGCCCATTGCTGATGATATCCATGAGGACAGGAAAGCAATTCAGCCTTTTGGTATTACATGCTATTGAGAATCTGTGATCCTAAAATATAATAAATGTGCATTCTAAGCCCTCAGGAAGCAAATACAAAATTTAATGAAAGAATATGGTAGAAAATCATTCGAATTTTTGACAAAACAGGAAGGCTAAAGCATTGAATGTGATTAATATCACCATCACTCATATTATTTGATTAATTCCCTATATACAGCAAGGAATTCAGTATTTTGCTCTTTACTGACCATAGCAGCGGACAGGTGGCTCTTTATGCCTAAATGGTCACAAAATGAAATGCCTCGGATGACTTTTAGCAGCAATACCATAAAACTCCACAAAGCAATGTCTCTGTAACATGGCCATAGGCTTCCTTTCAAAATGCGATACATGCATTTTATAAATTAAGAATGTGTGGATACTTAGAAGCAGAGAGCAGTCAGCTACTGTAATGAAAGCATAGGTTTTCACAAATACTGAGCTTGTAGTAGCAATGCTGCATGTAAAAATCTCCTTTAACGGGCGCCTGGGTGGCTCAGTGGGTTAAGCCTCTGCCTTTAGCTCAGGTCATGATCTCAGGGTCCTGGGATCAAGCCCCGAATTGGGCTCTTTGCTAAGCAGGGAGCCTGCTTCCCCCTCTCTCTCTGCCTGCCTCTCTGCCTACTTGTGATCTCTCTCTCTGTCAAATAAATAAATAAAAATCTTTAAAAAATAATCTCCTTTAAAATGACATTTTAAAATCACTTGACTTGTAAGTCAAGTCATTATGCTGTACATCTTAAACTTATACAGTGATGTATGTCAATTTTATCTTAATAAAGCTGGGGGAAAACATACAGTAAAAAACGTTACCTCTCTCTATATATACATATACACACATATATCATAAATTATATATAGATACATATGTACACTGTGATTACTTCTTGCCCAAATAAAAAGAATAAAAGTTATTATTTTCTCAATCACAAAAAAATCACATGGATTGTAGCTAATCTAATTACTTAAAGCAATGTTTATTGATCTTAAGAATGCCATTTTTTTAAAAGATTTTATTTATTTATTTGACAGACAGAGATCACAAGTAGGCTGAGAGGCAGGCAGAGAGAGAGAGGCGGAAGCAGGCTCCCCGCTGAGCAGAGAGCCTGATGCGGGGCTCAATCCCAGGACCCTGAGATCATGACCTGAGCCGAAGGCAGAGGCTTTAACCCACTGAGCCACCCAGACACCCCAAGAATGCCATTTTTGAATAACTATTTTTCTGAGCACACCAGAAACTAACCTGCTTACAACATACCAAGGATGAGTTTGATCAAAAGTAATTTCTAATTTTATCATGGGCACAGAAATTACTTCTGAAAATTAACTCTGATAAGTTGCAAATGGTCAAGCTTTGCAACATTTACCTACAGTGGTTTACACATATAACACTTTTTTTTATTTTTAAGATTTTATTTATTTATTTGACAGAGATCACAAGTAGGCAGACAGGCAGGCAGAGAGAGAGAGGGGGGGAACAGGCTCCCTGCTCAGCAGAGAGCCCGAGGTGGGGCTCAATCCCAGGACCCTAAGATCATGACCTGAGCCGAAGGCAGAGGCTTTAACCCACTGAGCCACCCAGGCGCCCCACATATAACACTGTCTTGCCATCTTTTTTCATTTGTCTACCACAGGGATCTCTCCCCATACTCCCATGGGGCCTAGGTAGATCACATACATGGGTGAAGCAGCTTAGGGTTAGAGCAAGTTGGCAAGTCCAGGTCTAAAGCAAGTTTAGTCCAGCTCTAAACTGGGCAACTGTTTCTCAATTCCAGCTGCAGACTGCCAGAATCAGCGCATGGAAGGAATTTTTAAGAGAAGCAGAAAGTAAATTTTCATTAGAAATACACCAATCTTAAATATTGCTAAATAAGACATTCCCTTCTCAAACTTTGGTGAGCATAGGAATCTGCAGATTTTATTCAAGTGCTGTAACTCAGTAGCTCTGGAGTGGGAGTGGAGAGTCTGCATTTCTTTTCTTTCTTTCTTTTTCTTTTTCTAACATCTGGCATGTAATTTTAATTAATTGATTAATTGATTGATTAATTTTATTATTACTATGTTCAATTAGCCAACATATCATACATCATTAGTTTTTGATGTAGTGTTCAACGATTCACTCGTTGAGAATCTGCATTTCTAACAAACTCTTAGGGGATCCACTGTTGTTGATTCATGAACTGCAAGTTGTAGGAAACAGAAAGTTTTTAATATCAGATAGCTGAATATAAATATTTATCTAAAGATTTGACCCATTTGTGTAGAGTTTACTGCTAAGACATGAACTTTTTTCCCCATAAGAAATATACACAAATCTACTATAAAAAAATTAAGAACTTTTTTTCTGGTAATGGAGCTGAAGTTCATAATAGATATTAATCAGACTTATTCTTAGATGATTCATCAGAGAGTCATTTGAGTTAAAATCCCGTTGAGAATAAGATTTAAATTCATTATTAGAATGGAATAGAATTGATAATAAGGTTTAAATTCATTGTTAATAATAGTGCAAATAATTTAATAAGGAATAAAAACAAATGACATTTAATTCTATCTTGTTATAATGGAGGCTATGGGCAAATATTTACACTCACAAATGAGAGATATCCCATCTGTTTGTGTTAAACTGACCTTTTATGCCTGTTGTTAGGTATTACTCAAATGGTCCTTGTACCGCATCATGGGTAAGATGCAAAATCAGAGCCCAACATACCTTGTCATCACCTGACACAGTGATAGCACCATTGTATGATGGCTCGTTTGGGCCACTTCTGGTTCCAAACGCATCCACTTCCAAAGCTATGTTCTGTTGCCTCAGTGAATGTATAAAGTTATCAATACTTGACCCTACCATGAAGGTAAAAATCAAAAGAAGCAAGGAAAGTAAAACAACATATAAGTAATATGAAAAAAAAAAAAAACTAAGTGATGTCACCCAAAGCATACCATAATAAAGATTGTCTAAGGATTTCCTTAGAAAGGCAGAATTGATACTGTGATACCAAAATCCTGATACCAAAATTCTGATATCAAAGACAGGACAAGATGACTTGCCCTAGAGCCTAGCCACTTGCATATAATTTCTATTAATGTAAAAATACTATTTTAACATTAACATTATAATTCTTAAAGATATTAATCTTCTATTTTCTTAGAAATTTGGAACAGATTTTTTTCCAGCCCTCAAGAACGCATAGAACTTAAAAAATGTTGTGGAAAGACCTCAGTGATCAGTCAATGATTTATCTTACTAAATCCCCTTTTGTTGCTCAGTACAATCAACTTCAGGATTTAAGTGACCTTGCGGGATGTATTTCTAAAATAAACTCCCCAACCTTGAATTTTACATTTCTTTTTAATTAATTTTTTTTTTACTTTTTAAATAAACATATAATGTATTTTTATCCCCAGGGGTACAGATCTATGAATTGCCAGGTTTACACACTTCACAGCACTCACCATAGCACATACCCTCCCCAATGTCCATAACCCCACCCCCTCTCCTGACCCCCCGACCCCCAGCAACCCTCAGTTTGTTTTGTGAGATTAAGAGTCACTTATGGTTTGTCTCCCTCCCAATCCCATTAATTTTTCATTTTTTAAATTAATTTCCTATTTGGCCTCATAGGTGATCTAAAACACGCAGAATTTTTTCTACCCCCTCATGGTTTATGTTGTCTGGGGAAACTCTCAAGAAGAACAAAGCTGGAAAATTACATTTGCTTCATGTTTACCTGTTTTATTGATGACCAGTAAGTGGGTCAGAGGAGCTTGAGGCAGTTGTCCCGGTGAGAGGAAGTACATATCAGGAGCCAGTCCCCAAGAATAACTTTTTTGATATAACTCATAGAATAGATGCTCTAAAAGCTGAGGGCAAAAGCTGATACCAAGAAGCAATAATCTACATGGAAGAAAATGTAAAAGGAAAAAAATTCATCTATAGCAACATTTATAGATTTTTAAGTTTGAGTAGATAATGGATATTAAAATAGAAATAAATTCTAAACACTAAGCAAATATAAGAATCATGCTTCTCCCTGCCCCCACCCCACCCCTTGTTTCTTTTTTCCGAAATGAAATGGTTCCTACATATCTATGCTTGGTCTTTCTATCTCTCTAATGGCTCTCCCCACTCCCCCGCCCTGCCCATTTTGGACATGTCACTCAAGTTCATGAGGTTGGCTGGGGAGGACTCAAATCTCTCTCCAATTCCCACTTCTTTCCTCTGTTTCCATCTTGCATTTCTTCCTTTTTCTAGACCACTGCACACTGGCATGCCACTCAAGCATTTTCCCTTCCTGTTTCCAATTTGTATAAATTACAACATTTTCTCATTTATTCAAGTTCCAAGGGTCATTTTCCACTAATCTGTCTCCTTTAAGTCCCTTTTCCGAAATTCTGAAAATTTCTATCATATCATCATTATTAGGTGCCTAAAAACCTTTTGTCTTCCACTTTCTAAGTTTGGAACTTAATTATCTCTCTTCTGACCTCTTTCAATATTGTCCTCAATGACTCTTTTCCCGGTCTCTAGAGTCTACTATTTCCAAGCCATTTTTGCACTGTTGCCCAATTAAGTCCAATTTGGCAATCTGTTTATTATTTTTTGTTTTAGAGAGAGAGTGAGAATGAGCAAGAGTGAGGGGAGGGACAGAGGAAGAGAGAGAGAAATCCCCAAGCAGACTCCCTTCTGAGGGCAGTGTCTAACACAGGGATGAATCTCATGACCTTGAGATCATGACCTGAGCTGAAATCCGGAGTCGGATGCCCAGCTGGCTGAGCCACCCACAGTTCCCCACCTAGCAATCTGTGCTAATTGTGTCAATCATCTTTTCAAATAAAAAATTTTCAATACTTCCTTTCTAGTCACAAAGCCCAAACTCTTCAGCTGTATGTAATACATTATGAAAATTATTTTTTAGGGGTGCCTGGGTGCCTCAGTGGGTTAAGCCTCTGCCTTTGGCTCAGGTCATGATCTCAGGATACTGGGATCAAGCCCCACATCAGGCTCCCTGGTTAACTGTTACATTTTCCTACACCAGACTCCATTTCTCACAAAAAAAAATCACAAGATGATTTTTCTGATGCCCATATTGGAACCTAATCTTTTGCATACTGAATGTTCTGGTCGACAATATTGTCTAATTTTATGTTATGGATTTTAGTATACTTCTAATCACCTTCATGAGCCAAATCTCATGTCTGATTTATATTGGTAAGTGTTACAGATATTTAACATAGAGTGTTAGGCAGAAGTGCTAGCAAGTATTTTTTAATGAATGAGTCCTGGCTGGAGATCAGGGTTTTTGCAAGGAGGTATTGCTTCATGAAGGACCCGAAGCTAAAGGGAAATGTGTGAACCATGAAGCAGGTTCCCGAGGACGGAAACAGGCTCAGATACTGCCTGGCACAGAGCTGTTTGGGCAAAAAGAAAGTTCTGGGGATGGGACTCGAGTGCTAACTTCCATGCTTCAGAAAAACGATTTCAACTCTTGGATAAGAGCAGATTCTGTGTGGAATTAAAAGAAAAAGCCCAAGCTTTACCAGGTTAGTTATATACCCACACAAGCAATTAGAAATTATTTTCTGTTAAAAAAAAAAATGACCTCATGCAATTGCTGTGCTTTATCTCAGAGGTGTGTTTGTTTTTTCCCCTTGAATTTATTTCGAGAGCACTGACCCAACATATCTGAAACACCTGGGTACTCACATGGTCAACAGGGTTTTTTTTTCATTCTTTAACTTGAGGAAGCGAACTTTTGCTACTGCAGAGAGCTGTTGTCTCCAGAGAGCCATGCCATGGATGGATTTCTTTGTTTCCTTAAAGGAAGACAAAACTTGTTCCAGCTCAACAAGGCTTCCTATGTCTTTTGTCCTATTACTTTGTAACTCTCCCCAAATTCCAGCATCTATAAAACATAAAATCGATAATTTATAAGGTGTCATTTTAGATGCATATTACTTAGATTTCTCGATGACCGTCTTTCCACCAAGTGGTGTTGGAGAAGAGAATCTTGGGCAAGGAGATGCTAATAAATGAATTCATGGCATTACAAGAGTAACAACTAAAGTAAAGGAAACAAAGCAAAAAAAAAAAAAGCATAATACAAGAAGAAAAACTAATGACATAATATTAAAAGAAAATATTAAAAGATAAAAGAAATCTTGTTTTTTCTTTTTAAAAAGGTTTGGGTCTATAGCCTTAAGGACTTAATTCATTCTCGGAAAGTCAATGAAAAGAAACCCATATTTAGCTTAGAAAAATATACTCATTGCAAAAGATAAACTATCAGTATTTCTGACTAAGGTAGAAAAGTCAGTATATATAGAACCCTCCCTATCCCCTTAAAATTGGTATATTTTAAGGATATAAGGATATAAAATTGGTAGAGACAATATTTTTTTCATGTAGCCATTTCTTGAAGACAAGAAAAAGGTTACTTCTTTTGGAAGACATGCCTAGAGAAACTGATCAGCTCTAGGCTTTTAGAAAGCTCTAATATATGTATACTAAAAGTTAAGCATAACCATAAGTACGTAACTTCAACAGTGGGAAAAAGAGAGAAAGAGGTATTTTTAAAAAACCACTCAACCAATAAAAAAATCCTCAAAAAAATACTGACAGCAAATCTTCTCATAACAACAATGGAATCCTGAAGACATTGAGACAATATCCTCAAAATGTTACAAGAAAGGTTAACTGTCAACATACAATTCTAATTTCCTTCTCTCTATAGAACTTACATATTTATTGTCTACTCCATGAGGACCTAATATTGTGTACTGCCATATCCCACACCCTTAGTAAAATGCATACTACAAAATAAGGAATTTAAGAGGGGGGACCAGCATTGGGAGAAAAGGGAAGAAAGAGACAGAAATACATCTCTTCTCTGCTCTAAGAATTCCCAAGACCAGACTGAATCAGAGCACCTCCCAAAACATACAACCTCATCTGTATTTTCAAGATAGAATATTCTACAGAAAGGTAAAATTGAAGTTGTTTCTTCTTCTTCTTCTTCTTCTTCTTCTTCTTCTTCTTCTTCTTTTTTTACCTGATTCATCAGTAGCTGATTTTCCTTCTAATTTCAAGAACACTTCATTCAAAGTTGTCATGGAAACGCCATAATTCTCAATGCCTTGGTTAGAGCATCTATCAAGGTCCCTGTAAAGATCTAAAAGTAGTCACAGAAATGCATTAGAAGAATATAATTTGTAATGATATTAAGTAACTACATTTTTCAACAATAGATAACATGTGTGATAGCCCAAAAGCATTCATAAGAAACAAAGCTATGATATAGACATTCCCTTATTTCTAAAATAACCTACACAGTGTGTTTCCATGTCTTGAGTATAAAATTATAATCATCTATGTTTCATTCTTGGAAAGCTACATATGCTGAGTTCATTAAGAAATATTATGTTTTATTTATTCTGTTTTAAAAAATTAATTCTGGGGACACCTGTGTGGCTTAGTTGGTTAAGCCACTGCCTTCGGCTCAGGTTATGAACCCAGGGTCCTGGGATCAAGTTCTGCATTGAGCTCCTTGCTCGGCAGAGAGCCTGTTTCTCTCGCTGTCTCTGCCTGCAACTATACCCGCTTGTGTGTACTCTCTCTCTCTCTTTCTCTGACAAATAAACAAATAAAATCTTTAAAAAAATTAATCTGTTTGATAATGGGGAATGTAATAAATGAACTGAATGCTTGTGGTCTCCCATAAATCCCCTTAAATCTGTATGTTGAAACCCTACCTTCTGGTGTGATGGTATTAGGAGGTGGGAGCTTTGGGAGATAATTAGGGTTAGATGAGGTCCTGAGAGTGGAGCTCTCATTAATGGGATTAATACCCTTGAAAGAGTCACAGGAAATCTGGCTTCCTCTCCCTGCTCCCTGCCATATGGGAAGACCAGGAGAAGTCTGCACTCTGCAACTTCAAAGGGGTATCTCATGAGAACCCAAAGGTGCTGGAACCCAGATCTTGGACTTTCCAGCATACAGAACCATCAAAAAATCAATTTCTACTGTTTGTAAGACCCCAGTCTACAGTACATGCTATAGCACCTATGAATGACTAAGGTAGGAAATATTAAATTCTAAATCCCCATTCATTCAGGAATATAAGAATGTAAGAATGCTCTTAGGAATAACTAGTAGGCAATAGAATACAATGCAAAAGAACTAATGTTTATAGAAATAATTAGGTGCTTCACAATCTTCCTTATTTTAGAGAAATATATAAGTTAAAGGAAAGAACAAAGTATGTATGTAACTTTGCATTTACTCTCTTTTTTCCAGCTTCTGACCATGGTATGAAGATTACACAAGAGCCTTCAAAGAAGGTAGGACTTGAGAGACAAAACATAAGAGACTCTTAGCTATAGGAGACACACTGAGGATTCCCGGGGACGTTGGGGAATGGGGTAACTGGGTGATGGGCATTAAGGAGGACAAGTGATGTAATGAACACTGGGTGTTATATAAGAATGATGAATCACTGAACTCTACTTCTGAAATTAATAATACACTATATGTTAATTAATTGAATTTAAATAAAAAAATAAAAGACATCATGCTGCAAAATTTTTTAAAAAGAAGATATGTCTCTATAAGGATTAGTAGGCCATTTTGAGGGTTGTTTTTGTTTTTTGTTTTCTTAAAGATACTGGGCATAATTTGGGGGCAGTTCAGGAAAATTTGAAGTAGAATAAAGGATAAACTAATTCAAATATTGGGAGAAATTAAAGGTATCTATCTTAAGAGTGTGTTAGATAAATAAAAATACAGAAGTAGTCACAATTTCTAATGAGTTCTAAGTGTTGGTTCTTTTTCAGTCTTTTTTTTAAATTGTGCATTCCCCTCTGAAATGCATTTAACAAATAATCATTTAACACTTTGTTTTGTGGGTTTCATAAAGATTTCTGTTTCCATATGTATATGTATGTCAAAGACATGGTGCACACATCTAGGACTACAGTTACTTCACTGATTCTAAGATAAATACATTTCATCATCTTTTACCATATTTGAAATGAGCATGTATCCCAAATGTTGGTATGTCATTGTAAATGGTGGCACCATTTCTTTCTATTTCACATCTTACAGCTGAGGCTGTCTTAGACTTGAAGAAATACTATAACTTCTATGTCAGTTATGATTCTAGGTGCTCTGCTTATTTTTAATATTTTAATAATATATTTAAATGTATTAAATCATTTAATCCTCATGAAAATCCTATAAAGTTAGTACTATCATTATCCCTTTGTTACAAATAGGGAAACTAAAGTACAGAAAAGTAATATAATTTGTCCAGGATAATGGAGCTCATAACTGCCTTGCTGGGATTTGAACCTACCCAATCTGGCTCTATTATCCCAGCTTTCAATGACAGCATGCTACTGTCTAGTGCTGTATTTCCTTATGAACCATGATTATGGCAGGTTTATTCATTGAAGCAGACAGCCACGGAGCCATTAGCGTCCATTAAAAGCTGGCAAATTCCTTGAACTCAAAGTAAATACATTTTATGGTCATACTTTTTTTTTTTAAATGCCATCTACCTCAAAACTCTTGGCAAATGAAAGCATATTAAGAGACGAGCTAGAAAAGTGGATGGCACTGAGCCTCCAGGCTTCTGTATTTGCAGCCAAATTGTAAGTTTAGAAGTTTGGCAACATATGGTTTGATTGTAATTACTATTCGGTTACTTGGATTACAATATTATGTCATGGTGTTTATAATAAAACCATCTACATGTGGTGGTGTACCATTCCCTCAACTCCCATTTAATACTCCATGCTGTTTTCACAGACCCCTCCTTGTCCGGACCAGGCTCTCTCATTCATTCCTGAAACAAATGTTCCAAATATTCCTAATTTTAGCTTGATGTGGTCCTATACCTCTTAACTGTCTAGGTTGCCACTTGAAGCATATTTGGCATCTTTTGCCTCAGTTTACTCATAAGTGATTTGGGGATAATATCAGGAGCTAATACTAGCAGTAACTCTGGGGAACATCAAAAGGTTACACACACTGCCATGCACTTAGCAAGCATAAAAGTGTCAGCCATCATTCTTAAGACAACTGTTATTGTTAGTAACATTGTTATAAATCATTCTGTGGTCTCTATGTTCTGTTACCTGGAAATTTGTTTGTCCTCTCCAAAGGCAAAATATATACAAGCTTTTCTTCACTCTGTGCCCTTAATTTGGCATCAGGGATGTGTTGTTTAACAAGTGATGTTATACTGTCTGGATCACACATTTCATTCAGATGCAAACTGACATTTAAAAAGAGCATGTTAAAGCTATTTTTTATCCAACACCATCTCTACAAACAATTGTAGTAGGTTTGTCACTTCATTAATATTTATGAGATGATTATATATACATATATATATATATATAGAGAGAGAGAGAGAGAGAGAGTAATGGAAGAATCAAGACATACTAAATAGTCCAAATATAGTCCAAACTATATAATCTAGAGGCACTAATGTAACGGGTAATAACTCAAGTATTATTATTTGGAGGGAAGAGATATTCAGCTAGATGTTGGCTGGAGTGAGGTGGTGGAAATGCCTGATTTTCAATCCATCTATCCAAAAGCTCAGATTCAATTTCCCTTTTACAATAAAGTATGGGTTTTACAAAAACTAAGACTTGAACATGGTGAACACAGACCCAGGAGTAACTTGATAGAGTCATTAAGATCATGGTCCTAATGTCCCACTGATCCATGTTCCTGAACTTAGGTTTAGTTAGTCTTCCAGCATCAATTTTCCATCAAAATTCCAATCAATGTTCTAATACTCAGCTCTCAAAGAAATTCAAAAGACAGAATAGAATAAAGTATGCATGTGATCATACAGAGCCTTGCACCATATATGTTAGCTAATTTTATCATTTTTTGGTCCAAAGTTTATTCAACTCAAAGATGATCTGTCTTCTTAGTGAAAACATGTAAAGTTCTTCATGAAATCATTGGATTTTAGAAGCACCATTATTAGTCACATCCATCAAAATTTACTGAGGTTATCAAATGATGAAGATATCTCTTTGATCACACAACTTAAAAAAATCAATTTTAGATAAAACTATTCTGTGTTTACATGTAATACATGATCCTAGATCCCAAACAGAAAGAATGCAGAACCTTCCCTAGAGGAGCTTGGAATGTAGCAGTAATATAAAGCAGCATATTATGAAAGAAGTGAGAGAGAGGGAAGTGTAAGTCAGTTAAGCACTTGGCACCTTGTCAAATATTCATTCATTCAATATTTTTAGCCTTAACTGCAATGTGGGTATCATTACCACTATTATATAAATAAAATTACTGAGGATCAAAGACAGGTTAATTAATTTGCCTGAGGTAACAATTCAAAATAGTGCTTCCCAGGTTCCAGAAAAGAGGATGGTTACTAAGGAGAAAATATTCAGAAAAGACCTTTAAGGATGGACAAGATTTGAACTTGGTTAAAATGGGTTGGAGGAGGACATGTCAAACAGATGTCCTACCTTGAGCAGAGAGAAGACAACTAAATCATGGAACATACTTAGAAAACAGTGAGTGGTTCATTTTAGTTGGAAGGTATTGATTCGATTAGATTGTACCAAGTAATCATGATGGAGTGATAGATTTGATCAGATTAAACCCTCAGTACATAATATAGGGTATACCTTTAAATTCTGAGGATAAAGTGACTAAATTATTTTTTAAGAAATACTAATATTTTAGCAGGAATTATAGGGAGAGATTCATATCACACCTGTAATCTTGGCCCAAAGATTCTACCACTTTAAATAATGTGAGATTGGGTCTATTACTAAAACTCCCTGACATGTCAGAGGCCAATAGTACCATCTTCTTACAGTTCTTTGAAGGATTGAATAAATTATATGAGTATTCCACATGTAAATATCCTAGCAAGAACATAGAGCATAGCCAACATGGGATAAGTGATAGACATTACTTAATAACATAACAACAGTAATAATAATAATGATTCATAATGATATTCATTATTACCAGGAAGAGAAAGATAGAAAAGAATGAGGGAGACTATGAAATCAGGGAGAACAGGGAGACTTGACATTGTCGTGATGAACAAAAAGGAAGCGTTGGAAAAATGATGAGAGAGGTTGGGAATGTCACTACATTTCTCACTGCAAACAATGTGTTGTGAAACTATTTTCCAAAAAATGTTGTTTAAATTTAGTTTAAACTAAACTAAAGACATGTAGTCTCCATGTCTACAATCCCACCTGCCCTTCATACTAGCTAAGAAAGAGAGCAGTGTGGTGTCATTCTAACGTAGCACTCTTGAAAGGAACTTAATAATTTTGTAGCTTACATACTAATACTGACATATTAACGGTTAATAACGTACTAATACTGAGATCTCCTGTCTGCAACATGTTCTAACATGTATCCAACAATACAGGTTGTACCTTAAATGGTAGCCAATGCCCCATTTCTTCTTCAGGAATAGAGAAGAGCCTGCACACTTCAGTCTCCCATTGGATATAAACACCTTCCTGTCTAAGCAGAAAAGAAAAACAATGCATCATATTAAGAGGTTATTCTCTCATGGTTTGTAAAAGAACAAATCCATTAATAATATATTTTAGGAGCATGATCCACTAAAATATTTGCATTCTAATTCTGGTCATATGTAAGCCAATTTCCTCATTACCCAATAACTAAAATGTTATGTTAGTTTATTCTCTCATATGTTCAGAAAAATTATCATACAATGGAAGGATCTGTTTCAAGCCAACTGACTTTCCTAATGAATAAAACATATATATATTTGAAGAGTATGCTATATATTTACAACCAATGAGTTCTTTGCAATAAGATCAGAATACATTTGTGGGACAATGTACGTGAGGATGTGGACATTCAAATGGATGACAGCAAGAATCTCCTATACACACACACACACACACACACACACACACACACACACACAGAGTAGCTGTGTTGGAACTTATCTACACATATTTCACCCACATCCTTAATTTCTCCACCAAGATACAAGAGAAAACCAAGAACCACCATGAAAGGACATGGATGGAACTTGAAGGCATTAGGCTAAGTGAGAGAAATCAGAGAAAGCAAAAGACAAATACTGTATAATCTCACTTATATGTGGAATATTAAAAAAAAAAAAAAGAATATCACCAGCCAGGATGTCAGCCTCATCCATGAACTGAGTACTGAAGAGAATAACTCTATTGGATTTCCTCTCTTTTAGGAGGTTCCATACACGGTGCCTTGAAAGAGGATCTGACCCAGCAGTTGGTTCATCCAACAGCAAAACCTGCACAGTGGGGAAACATAAAATCATTTTCCCCTTTCAGGTAAGTTTTTTTTTTTTTTAAAGCAATATGGAACTAGAGGGTATTATGCTAAGCGAAATAAGTCAGTCAGAGAAAGACAATTATCATATGATCTCTGATATAAGGAATTTGAGAGGCAGGGCGGGGGGTTTTGGGGGAAAGGGAGGGAAAAATGACACAAGATGGGACCAGGGAGGCAGACAAACTAAGAGACTCCTACTCTCAGGAAACAAACTGAGGGTTACTGGGGTTGTTGGGGGTGAGGGGGAGGGATAGGGTGGTTGGGTTATGGACATTGGGTAGGGTATGTGCTATGGTGAGTGCTGTGAAATGTGAGTGCTGATGATTCACTGACCTGTACCCCTGGGGCAAATACATATATGTTGATTTAAAAAAAAAAAAACACTCCATTCTTGGCAAAAAGAAAAATAATAAAAAATAAAAAAGCAATATATGTGTAAAAGTGTTTGGGAGAAATATCTTACTATTTAATTTTTCATTTGAACAGTTCTTTTACATTCACCATTTGCAAATTCAGTCTGATGGAATACAATAGTTCCACAGTCCTCAATCTCATTCACCAGTAATTTTGGCTTGACTTACCTGAGGGTCTCCTAAAATGGCAATCCCAAAAGTTAGTTTCCTTTTTTGTCCACCGCTTAAATTTTGAGCAAGAATATCTTGAATATTTTCCATCTCCAAGTCCCTTAAAATTTGTTGTATCTAACCAGAGAGAAAGAAAGAAAGAAAGAAAGAAAGAAAGAAAGAAAGAAAGAAGAAAGAAAGAAAGAAAGAGAGAGGAAGGAAGGAAGAAAGAAAGAAAAAGATGTTTAGTCCAAAACCCAGCATGTTTGTTTTTAAAGACCCAGTCGTTTTGCTGTTCATTGCCAAGGGCTTTTTTGCCCTTTTGATGATGAACCATGTAGCAATAACACAAATACATTTAGAATTTTCTAGATAAACAATTTCACGTTCATGGCTGTGTGGCATCTAATATGTTCCTCTACCTCTTGTTCCACTTCATGTGGCTGAATCCCTTTTATTTTAGCGAAAAGCCTGAGATTTTCTTTCACAGTGAGGAAGCCAAATTGCACGTTGGATTGTGGACAGACTCCAGTGAGCTTGCTGATGCCTTCCAAGTCAGCCATTTCTGAAAGTGTGTGGTTATAGATGGTGACCGAACCTAGAAGCAGAAAGGTTAACAGTCAGCATCAGGATAACCCGCCATGCTTCATTTACGATATTTTAAAGGGAAAAAACAATGGGTGTCCAACACTAGAGTCTTTTAAACATACTGTACCTTTATGGAGTACACTCTTGACTAAAAAGGTAATGCTCACAATTCATCTGAACCAGCTAGAGTGCCCATTCATAAAGCTACTGATCTTGAAATATTAAAACCACAAAGACTTTTCTGAATGAGTAGAACATACATTTATTAAAAGAAAACCTTGGGGAAACTTGTAAGACTTGTCTCTGAAGTACCTGGTGTGACTAGCAGTTAATGAAACTACTAACTATTGAAATGAACCAACAAAACTAATTAACGAATAAAATGCACAGTTAATTTATGGGCTCATGTCCTTGCCTGTAATTATCTTCTCACCTGACGTTGGGACGGATAGTCCACTGAATATATTCAACAGGGTGGTTTTCCCAGCTCCACTGTGACCAAGGAGGGCAGTGATCTGGCCTTCGTATATGTCAAATACCAGACCTGGCGTTATTACAAAAAACAAACAAACAAAAATCCCATTCAGAGCCTACATATTAACTTTACATTTGCCCCCCAAATTTTTTTTAAGATTTTATTTTTTTATTTAGAGTGAGAGCACAGCAAGGGGAGGGGCAGAAGGAGAAGAAGAGAGAAAATCTCAAGCAGACCTGTGCGGTGTGTGGTGCCCGACGTGAGGCTCGATCTCACGACCCTGAGCTGAAGACCTGAGCCAAAATCAAGAGTCTGACTCTTCACCAACTGAGCCATGCAGGTGCCCCCACATTCTCCAAAGTTTTTATAATTTCTTATAACATGTATATATTTGCCTAGCAATATTCAAAATAAAATCCATCCCCAAATCCTTCTTTTTAAAATTGCATCTTCAGACAATCATAAGAACATATTATGAGCAGCTCTATGACAACAAATTTGACAATCTGGAAGAAATGGATGCATTCCTAGAGACATATAAACTACCACAACTGAACCAGGAAGAAATAGAAAGCCTGAACAGACCCATAACCAGTAAGGAGATTGAAACAGTCATCAAAAATCTCCAAACAAACAAACAAAAGCCTGGGGCCAGACGGCTTCCCAGGGGAATTCTACCAAACATTTGAGGAAGAACTAATTCCTATTCTCCTGAAACTGTTCCAAAAAATAGAAATGGAAGGAAAACTTCCAAACTCCTTTTATGGGCTAAATGCCCCAATCAAAAGACACAGGGTATCAGAATGGATAAAAAAACAAAACCCATCTATATGTTGCCTACAAGAAACTCATTTTAAACCCAAAGACACCTCCAGATTTAAAGTGAGGGCGTGGAAAAGAATTAATCATGCTAATGGACATCAGAAGAAAGCAGGAGTGGCAATCCTTATATCAGATCAATTAGATTTTAAGCCAAAGACTATAATAAGAGATGAGGAAGGACACTATATCATACTCAAAGGATCTGTCCAACAAGAAGATCTAACAATTTTAAATATCTATGCCCCTAACGTGGGAGCAGCCAACTATATAAACCAATTAATAACAAAATCAAAGAAACACATCAACAATAATACAATAATAGTAGGGGACTTTAACACTCCCCTCACTGAAATGGACTGATCATCCAAGCAAAAGATCAACAAGGAAATAAAGGCCTTAAATGACACACTGGACCAGATGGACATTACAGATATATTCAGAACATTTCATCCCAAAGCAACAGAATACACATTCTTCTCTAGTGCACATGAAACGTTCTCCAGAATAGATCACATCCTCAGTCCTAAATCAGGTCTCAACCGGTATCAAAAGATTGGGATCATTCCCTGCATATTTTCAGACCACAATGCTCTGAAGCTAGAACTCAATCACAAGAGGAAATTTGGAAAGAACCCAAATACATGGAGACTAAACAGCATCCTTCTAAAGAATGAATGGGTCAACCAGGAAATTAAAGAAGAATTGAAAAAGTTCATGGAAACAAATGATAATGAAAACACAACGGTTCAAAATCTGTGGGACACAACAAAGGCAGTCCTGAGAGGAAAATATATAGCGGTACAAGCCTTTCTCAAGAAACAAGAAAGGTCTCAGGTACACAACCTAACCCTACACCTAAAGGAGCTGGAAAAAGAACAAGAAAGAAACCCTAAACCCAGCAGGAGAAGAGAAATCATAAAGATCAGAGCAGAAATCAATGAAATAGAAACCAAAAAAACAATAGAACAAATCAACGAAACTAGGAGCTGGTTCTTTGAAAGAATTAATAAGATTGATAAGCCCCTGGCCAGACTTATCAAAAAGAAAGGAGAAAGGACCCAAATAAATAAAATCATGAATGAAAGAGGAGAGATCACAACTAACACCAAAGAAATACAGACAATCATAAGAACATATTATGAGCAACTCTATGACAACAAATTTGACAATCTGGAAGAAATGGATGCATTCCTAGAGACATATAAACTACCACAACTGAACCAGGAAGAAATAGAAAGCCTGAACAGACCCATAACCAGTAAGGAAATTGAAACAGTCATCAAAAATCTCCAAACAAATAAAATTGCATCTTCCATGATATACACTTTATAGCTATAGCATTGTGATGATATATTATCATATAATTAACAATTTTTAGGATGAGGGCAGTTTTGTCATTAAAAATGGCTGACTATAATAAAGATCATTTATTAGGATTAGGGAGTGTAATGAGTTGAACATAAAGAACTTCATGATGCAGTCATACAACTTTCAAATCCATAAGTTATCCATGGCACACCCTGACTTTCTAAAATTGTTCTATGGCTTTACGTATACTCAGGAGGAAACACAGTGTGCTCAAATGAAGGAGAATTGTGGTCTGGAATATCTGTTCTTTTTCCCCATGAAGACAGTACAACAGTGAGGCTAGCCACCAAATCGGACAGCCATATTAAATATGATGTTAGTTCATTACCTTTCAAGGCTTCTACTTTTTCATGTTTTCCTTTTCTATATTCTTTATTAAGATTTCTTATTCTGAAAAAAGGAGAAAAATGTGTTAAGGGCATTGTGGAAGTAGACAGTAGAGAAATCAAGTCTTTGGGGTTGTGAGAAAATTCCAGGGGCTCTTTCCCTCATGTGACCCATGGTGATGGGAACTTTCCTCAGGAGACAATGGCAAATTGAATGAGGAACAAATGTTGAGCAAAGACCCAGGGAAGTTAGGGATTTCTAGTTATTTGGAAATAAAGAAAGCAGCACTGAATAAAACACATCCATATCTCAAATAGAAGATATGCATGGCATGAGTACCCTAACTTACATTTTCTTCCCATCTCTGGATGCTTATTTCCCCTTTTCTGCATCACCTGCCTCTCCCTTCTCCCCTTCTCCATTAAGAAACAAAGAGGAGAGAGACAGAATAAATTAGAAAGAAAAGATGAAGAATAACAAGGGATACAATGACAGTGTCTTTCCTAAAGAAAACAGTCACAGAAAGGGAGCACAGCATCAAGAAGGGGGAAAAAAGAAAATGAGAGAAATGGAAATATGAAGATTATTTATTCCTTGATATTTGTTGTTCTGTAATAAGATACTTGTAAGTATAAATGCTGACGATGTGGGAAAACAGAGTGCTTTTAACAATAATTGTGGCCTTTCATGAGTGGAACGGCCTGGATATAGGTGGGTACAAAGAGGCACCCAGGAAATCTTTGTCACGTCTATGTTTTTCCAGACAGAACTCGGGTCCCTGGCCTGTTCTCCATTTGCACTTTCATGTAATTTATTTATTACCTGATGGCTTCTTTCCCATGGAATTCTGGAGACACCGGTTCAAAAGAGTCATTGGATGAAGAATTTGAATCTGTTTCATTCTCAAGGGCCACATGATCAGCCCTTTGGTGTTGAAACCAAGAAGAGGAATTCAGGAAAAACCAAGGAGAACGTCGATGTCCATATTCAGCTATATGAACAGGAGGCAACTGAGTGTTGGATAAGTCACTTCTTTAAGGATTATTGATCACAGAACAGCTTATCAAGGCAGCTGCTTTGGGAAGCATTTAAACACCCTTAAGATCCAGTACCAAGCACTAGCTTTCTTCATCTAGCACTAATATAAGCACTAATAGTATAATTATCCTTCATCTCTTGCAAGTGTCTCTTTAAAAAGAAACAATTTAAAATATTGTGGTAGAATGAGATCTTAGAAAACAATTCTATAAAACGAAATGCAGAATACCATTGGGCTCATTTTAGAAATTTTGAAAAAAAATGCTTGATAATTTATATTTGGTATGTTGTAGACAGTTATTTTAAAGAAATGCACTGAATGAAATTGCACTGATACACAATTAGGTTACTACTTACTGGGCAAAATTTTGTCAAAATATAATGTCAAAGCCAAATACAGAAGACCATCAAAAACCAGCATGAAAAGAGTAGCTATTATTAGGTATGGGTTGTCGGAAGAATCCAAATGGATGTTAGAATTCACATCATAGTCCAAATGTATAAGCTGGAAAAAAGATACATACATTGAATTTTAGAGGGATAAATGGAGTATAAAAAATTATTATTGTCTTATTTCTGCTGAACACTGAGATTGAAAAAAATAAAACATGGTTCCTGTCTTCACAGAGCTCTAATCTATTGGAAGACATGACACTGAATCCATATAACTACAAATCAATTTGGGAAGTTAGTGGAGGTAGGTACTGAAGGCTTAGAGACCCATTGACAGAAGTGAGCAAATACTCTGGGAAGTGATTTGAGGGTTTTGAAGGGGTTGGGGGGGTGGGAGGTTGGGGGAACCAGGTGGTGGGTATTAGAGAGGGCACGGATTGCATGGAGCACTGGGTGTGGTGCAAAAACAATGAATACTGTTATGCTGAAAATAAAAAAATAAAGTAAAATAAAAAACAAACAAACAAACAAGCAAACAAAAAAACTTCACAGGAGGGACTGCCTAAGGATTTCATCAGGTGTAGGATGGGGGCAAAGGGGATGTTCTAGAAAGGGGACACTATTTGAAAGTAAAAACATGAAAGGCTGGAAATACTTCAATGGCTGGACAGAAGACACAATACTAATTTCTTATTATAATAAGAAATTGTACATGGTACACTGTAACGCACACTATAGTCGTTACAATGAGTTTATATGTAATGTAACCTTTCATGTAGAATTTTACGGCTATGATGTCACACCTAGAATTAACTTTTCCAAGAAGGGGTTCAGTTTCATGTACAATTGGCCAATTAAAAATAAAAATTTATTTCTATTGAATTCCTGGTTTTCAAATACTTGTGATAGTATTAAGAGTCATGTTCCCTGTGCATTAAATAAGTTAAATGTTCGTTGGGAAAACCCATTGAAAGTAAAAGCAGAACCACGTCAATAATGAAGTATCAACCTATCTTTAATGACTTAAAACCAGTTATGCTGGGAGAGAAAAATACCCCCCCCAATACCTTACATGTGTATCTTTACAAAAGTGGATAGGAATTTTGATGCTTAGAACATAGAGGATGAATTTCTCAGAGAGAACTTTTTAATGTTCTGTAAAATATGAAATTGTTATATTAACTCTTACCTGGGCCATTCCAGCAGTGAAAGCAAAAGGGCTAAGAAGACATAAGGTCCATTCCAAAAATGCAGGAAGATGTCTGTACAATGCAGTGAATCCCAGACTCCCCCAAAAGACAGTAAGGAGAAAGACAACCAACCCAGTAAGGAAAGGTTTCTTTATCAACACGCTCATCAGGAAAGCTAAAGTTATCTGAGAGGAGAGAAAAACTTCAGGTAGTATATAAATCTCTGAGAATCATCAGTATCATAATAAAAAAAATTCATAATACAAAAATATATAACATCCATTCCTCTCCCCCTGCCCCCAGATACTGTCTCATGCAAATATTCTTATACAGCAAACAGAAACAGAAGAGGTGTGACTAGAATCAGTGAGAAATGACTGGCAGGCTTTCTCTGAGAGAGAGAGAGAGAAAGATATTAAATTCACCAACTCACCAAAGACAGGCCATAGAGGAGAAAGAGGGTGAAGACCACCATGAAGCCAGTTAGGACGACAACTTGGGCAGATTTTGTAATAAGAGCCATCAAAGTAGCCACAATAAAGATGAAGCCAGCATACATCAAACCCCAGGAGAGCCTAGCACAGAAACTAAGCATCAGTTCAGAGGGCTGGCACTTTAATCATTTTATTTATGCATTTACTCTGCAAATGACTTGGGAAGCTTACCCTCTATGGAGAACAAAGGGAATGTAACAGCTAAGAGATTAGAAAACTTCTCTGTCCCCAAAGTTCATATGCTACCAGGGGAGGTAGACAATAAACAAGTAAACAGGTAAAATAGGTAACTAATTGCAAAATAAGAAAGAAATAAGCAGAGTCATACAATGAGGGTAATTGGGAATGGTTTTCTGGGAAGACATCTACAATCTATATATCCATTCTGGACTACCATTTTCAGTAGAGTATAAATACTATGGAGGAAAAACATGAAGCAGGGATCAGCAAACATTTTCTCTGCTGAGCCAGATAGTAAATCTTTTAGGCTCTTTGGACCATATGGTCTCTTGCAACTACTGAAGTCTGCCTTTGCAGTCACAGGAAACATGTAAATGACTGGACTCCATTCCAATAAAAAATTTATTTATAGACACTGACATTTGAATTTCATATAAATTTTTATGTGCCATAAAATATTATTGTTCTTTTGATTTTTTAGGCATTTTCATAAAAGCCATTCCTAGCTTGCAGATTGTCCAAATAGCTTGCTAACCTCTTATAGAGATGATTAGATATAGATTAGGTATAGATCAGATACACAGGTAGGCATTGCAACACAGAGATACAGAAAGATAGATGGATACGAAGATATGTTTTTCTTGCTATCATTGCCACAAAAAAACAGGAATAAAGTTTTTTATAGGGGAAAGATAACAAGCTTTCTAATCATACAGATGTAGGTTCAGGCTTTCTGTGCTACATTGTAATGGTATGATTTGAGAGGTAGCTACAGGATCTCTCTAGATTACCGTAATGTCTACTGAAAAATAAGATAATTAAACGAAATGTTGTACGTTATGTGTTTAATGTGGTAACTGGTTTATAATGAGACCATGATGAACACTTAGCTTTTCTCCAAAGTATAAAATGTCATCACGTTTTAGGAAATCTTGCCTAATTGTAATGGTACCCTTTGCTCAATCACATCTGTTCATCTGAAATTGTTCCTCTCTCTGAGTTCTATAAACTTCTTAATTTCATTCATATACATTATCAGTAGAATGTCACAGCCTTTTCTTATAGGGGAAAAGTCCTGATATTTTTTTAACCTTCCTTCATTGGATTTATTTGGTTTCTCTCTTCTTTTTATCATATTGTTTACTTTTCTCTGACTCTCTGTAAATTTCTCATTTTATTTATTTTTTTCTTTTTTAAAAGATTTTATTTATTTATTTGACAGATCACAAGTAGGCAGAGAGGCAGGCAGAGAGAGAGGAGGGGAAGCAGGCTCCCTGCCGAGCAGAGAGCCCGATGCGGGGTTTGATCCCAGGACCCTGTGATCATGACCTGAACTGAAGGCAGAGGCTCAACCCCCTGAGCCACCCAGGCGCCCCTAGATTTCTCATTTTAAAAAATGTACAGTGAGCAAATTTTTCTTCAGTATTGAGTTCCAGAATTTTAATAAAAAAGAGACACCAGAAAAAACTCCCATTCTAGACCAAACCAGCAATCCATTTTCTTCACTATTGCACTGAGTTAATTGAACATTTCTGAAGGAAAAGAAATAAATTGGTTTAAATTGGCAGTATTAAATATGTGGGGTCTTCCTACTCAACTGAACAGTGCCTAATGTTCTTTTTTAAATTAAAAAATTTTAAATTTAAATTCAATTAATTAAGATATACGTGTTATTAGTTTGAGAGACAGAGGCCAGTTATTCATCAGTCTTATATAACACCCAGTGCTCATTATATCATGTGCCTTCCTTAATGCCCATCACCCACTTACCCCATCCCTCCATCCCCTCCTCTCCAGCAACCCTCAGTTGGTTTCCTATGACCAAGAGTCTTTTAGGATTTGTTACCTTCTCTGATTTCATCTTATTTTACTTTTTCCCCCTTCCCTTTTGATCCTGTTTTGCTTCTTAAATTCCACATATGAGTAAGAATGTATGATAATTGTCTTTCTCTGTTTGACTTATTTCACTTAGCAAAATACTCTCTAGTTCCATCCACGTCATTGCAAGTGGCAAGATTTCAAATTTTTGATGGCTGAGTAGTATTCCATTATATATATACCACATATTCCTTAGCCATTCATCTGTCGATAGCCATCTGGGCTCTTTCTATAGTTTGGCTACTATGGACATTGCTGCTATAAACATTAGGGTGCAGGTGTCCCTTTGGATCACTACGTTTGTATCTTTGGGGTAAATACTCAATAGTGCCATTGGTGGGTCATAGGGTAGTTCTATTTTCAACTTTTTGAGGATCTTCCATACTGTTTTCCAGAGAGGCTGCACAAGCTTGCATTCCCACCAACAGTGCAGGAGGGTTCCCCTTTCTCCACATCCTCACCAGCATCTGTTGTTTCCTGACTTGTTAATATTAGCCATTCTGACTGGTGTAAGGTGGTATCTCATTGTGGTTTTGATTTATATTTCCCTGATGCCGAGTGATATTGAACATTTATTCATGTGTCTGTTGGCCATTTGTATGTCCTCTTGGGAGAAACATCTCTTCATTTCTTATGCCCATTTCTTGATTGGATTATCTGTTCTTTGGGTGTTGAGTTTGATAAGTTCTTCATAGATTTTGGATATTAGCCCTTTATCTTTTTTTTTTAAGATTTTAGTTATTTTATTTGACAGCAGAGATCACAGGTAGGCAGAGAGGCAGGCAGAGAGAGAGGAAGAAGCAGGCTCCCTGCTGAGCAGAGAGCCCGATGCGAGACTCGATCCCAGGACCCTGGGATCATGATCTGAGCTGAAGGCAGAGGCTTTAACCCACTGAGCCACCCAGGCACCATAGCCCTTTATCTAATAAGACATTGCAAATATCTTCTCCCATTCTGTTGTTGACTATTTCCTTTGCTGTGCAAAAGCTTTTTATCTTGATGAAGTCCCAATAGTTCATTTTTGCCTTTGTTTCCTTTGCCTTTAGAGACGTGTCCAGCAAGAAGTTGCTGCAGCTGAGGTCACAGAGGTTGCTGTCTGTGTTCTCCTCTATGATTTTGATGGATTCCTTTCTCACATTTAGGTCTTTCACCCATTTTGAGTCTATTTTTGTGAATGATGTAAGAAAATGATCCACTTTCATTCTTCTGCATGTGGCCGTCTAATTTTCCCAACACCATTTGTTGAAGAGATTGTCTTTTTTCCATTAGATATCCTTTCCTGTTTTGTTGAAGATCAGTTGACCATAGAGTGGAGGATCCATTTCTGGGGTCTCTGTTCTGTTCCATTGATCTCTGTGTCCATTTTTATGCCAGTACCACACTGTCTTAATGATTGCAGCTTTGTCATAGAGCTTGAAGTCTGGGGTTGTGATGCCACCAGCCTTGATTTTCCTTTTCAACATTCCTTTGGCTATTTCGGGTCTTTTCTGATTCTATACAAATTTTAGGATTATTTATTCAAGCTCTGTCAAAAAGTTGATGGTGTTTGATTGTATTGAATGTATAGATGCTCTAGGTAGCATAGACATTTTAACAATATTTGTTCTTCCAATTCATGAGCATGGACATATTTCCATATCTTTGTGTCTTCTTCAGTTTCTTTTCTGAGTGTTCTATAGGTTTCTGAGTACAGATCCTTTGCCTCTTTGGTTAGGTTTATTCCCAGTTATCTTATGGTTTTGGGTGTGATTGTAAATAGGATTGACTACTTAATTTCTCTTTCTTCTGTCTTGTTGCTGGTGTGTAGAAATGCAACTGATTTCTGTGCATTGATTTTATATCCTGCCACTTTGCTGAATTCCTGTGTGAGTTCTAACAATTTTGGGGTGGAGTCTTTTGGGTTTTCCACATAAAGTATCATGTCATCTGTGAAGAGTGAAAGTCTGACTTGTTTGACATTTTGGATTCCTTTTATTTCCTTTTGTTGTCTGATTGCTGAGGCTAGGACTTATAGTACTATGTTGAAAACAGTGGTGATAGTGGACATCCCTGCTATGTTCCTGACCTTGGAGAAAAGCTCTCAGTTTTTCCTCATTGAAAGTAATATTTGCTGTGGGTGTTTCATATATGGCTTTTATGATATGTTCCCTTTATGCCTATACTATGAAGGTTTTAAATAAGAAAGGATGCTGAATTTCATCAAATGCTTTTTCTGCACCCATTGAGAAGGTCATATGGTTCTTGTCCTCTTTTTTATTAATATAGTGTATCACATTGATTTGTTTGTGGACATTGAACCACCCTTGCAGCCCAGGAATAAATCCCATTTGGTTGTGGTGAATAATCCTTTTAATGTATTGTTGGATCCTATTGGCTAATATTTGGTGAGAATTTTTGAATCCATGTTCATCAGGGATATTGGTCTGTAATTCTCCTTTTTGGTGGGGTCTTTGTCAGGTTTTGGGATCAATATAATGCTGGCCTCGTAGTAAGAGTTTAGAAGTTTTCCTTCCATTTCTATTTCTTGAAACAGCTTCAGAAGAATAAGTATTAATTTTTCTTTAAAAGTTTAGTAGAATTCTGCTGGGAAGCCACCTGGCCCTGGACTCTTTTGTTGGGAGATTTTTGATTACTGCTTCAATTTTCTTGTCAGTTATGGATCTGTTCAGGTTTTCTATTTCTTCCTGTTTCAGTTTTGGTAGTTTGTATGTTTCTAGGAATGCACCCATTTCTTCCAGATTGCATAATTTGTTGGTATATACTTGCTTGTGATATGTTCTTATAATTGTTTGTATTTCTTTGATGTTGGTTTTGATCTCTCTTCTTTCATTCATGATTTTATTTGAATCTTTTTTCTTTTTTGGTAAGTCTGGCCACAGGCTTATCAGTGTTATTAAAGTCTTATTAATTCTTTCAAAGAATCAACTCCTAGATTTGTTGATCCGTTCTACTGTTCTTTTGATTTATATTTCATTGATTTCTGCTCTAATCCTTTTTTTTTCCCTTTTTTGGAGAGAGCAAGAGAGAGCATGAGCAGGGGAGATGTAGAGGGAGAGAAAAAGGGAGAAACAGACTCTACTGAGCAGGGAGTCTGATATGGGGTTAGATCCCAGGACCCTGGAATCATGACCTGAGCCAAAGGCAGATGCTTAATTGACAGAGCCACCCAGGTGTCCCAATTCTGCCCTAATCTTTATTAATTATCTTCTGCTAGGTTTAGGGTTTATTTGCTGTTCTTTCTCCAACTCCTTTAGATGTAAGGTTAGGTTGTGTATTTGAGACCTTTCTTGTTTTTTGAGAAAGCCTTGTATTGCTACATACTTTCCTCTTATGACTGACTTTGCTGCATCCCAAAGATTTTGAACTGTCGTGTTTTCATTTTCATTTGTTTCCATGATTTTTTTAAATTCTTCTTTAATTTCCTGGTTGACCCATTCATTCTTTAGTAGGATGTTCTTCAGCTTCCATGAATTTGAGTTCTTTCGAAATTTTCTCTTGTGATTGAGTTCCAGTTTCAAAGCATTATGGTCCAAAAACAAGCAGGGAATGATCCTAATCTTTTGGTACCAATTGATAGCTATTTGTACACCCAGTATGTGATCTATTCTGGAGGATGATCCATGTGCACTTGAGAAGAATGTGAATTCTGTAGCTTTAGAATGGAATGCTCCTAATATATCTGTGAAGTCCATCTGGTCCAGTGTGTCATTCAAAGCCCTTGTTTCCTTGTTGATCTTCTGCTTAGATGATCTGTCCATTGCAGTGAGGGAAATGTTAAAGTCCCCTGTTACTTTTGTATTATTATTGATATGTTTCTTTAATTTTGTTATTAATTGTTTTATATAATTGGCTGTTCCCATGTTAGGGACATAAATATTTACAATTTGTTAGAACTTCTTGTTGGATAGACCCTTCAGTTTTGATATAGTATCCTTCCTTATCTCTTATTACAGTCTTTGGTTTAAAATCCAATTTGTCTGATATAAGGTTTGCCACCCTAGCTTTCTTTTGGTGTCCATTAGCATGATAAATGGTTTTCCATCCCCTTACTCTCAATCTGGAGGTATCTTCAGGTCTGAAATGAATCTCTTGCAGACAGCATATTGATGGGTTTTGCTTTTTTATCCAATCTGATACCATGTGTCTTGATTGGGATATTTAGCCCATTTACATTTATAGCAATTAATGAAAGATATAAATTTAATGTCATTATATTACCTGTAAAGTCACAATTTCTATATACTTTCTCTGTTCCTTCCTAGTCTATGTTACTTTTGGCCCCTCTCTTCTCCTAAAGGATCCCTTTTAATATTTCTTACAGGACTGATTTAGTGTTCACAAATTCTTTTAGTTTGTTTGTCCTGGACGCTTTTTATCTCTTCTATTTTGAATGATATTCTAACTTGATAAACTACTCTTGGCTGCATATTTCCTCCCATTTAGCACTCTGATTATATGATGCCACTCCTTTCTGGCTTGCCAGGTCTCTGTGGATAAGTTTGCTGATTGGTTAATGTTTCTACCCTTGTAGGTTAAGGACCTCTTTTCCTGAGCTGCTTTCAGGATTTTCTCTCTGTCTCTGAGATTTACAAGTTTCACTATTATATATTAGGATGTTGACCTATTTTAACTGATTGTTGAGTGGGTTTTTCTGTGCCTCCTGGACTTGAATGCCTGTTTTCTTCCCAGGATTAAGGAAGCTCTCTTCTTGAATTTGCTCCAATATACCTCCTGTCCCCATTTTCTGGGATCCCAATTATTCTAATATTATTTTGCTTTATGGTATCTCTTATCTCTCAAATTCTCCCCTTGTGATCTAGTAGTAGTTGATCTCTCTTTTCCTCAGCTTCTTTTTTCTCCATCATATTGTCTTCTATATCACTAATTCTCTCTTCTGCCTCATTTATCCTAGCAGTTAGAGCTTCCTTTTTTTAAAAAAGATTTTATTTATTTATTTGTCAGAGAGAGAGAGCACAAGCAGACAGAGTGGCAGGCAGAGGTAAAGGGAGAAGCAGGCTCACCACTGAGTAAGGAGCCCAATGTGGGACTCGATCCCAGGACGCTGGGATCATGACCTCAGCCAAAGGCAGCCGCTTACCCAACTGAGCTACCCAGGCTACCCAGAGCTTCCATTTTTTATTGCATCTCATTAATAGACTTTTTTATGTTGGTTTAATTAGATTTTTAGTTCTTTTATTTCTTCAGACAGGGATTCTCTAGTGCCTTCTATGCTTTTTTTTAAGCCCAGCTGGTATCTTTATAATTATTATTCTGAACTCTATTTCTGACATCTTACTTATGTCCATACTGATTAGGTCTCTGGCAGTCAGTACTGCCTCTTGGATTTTGTTTGTTTGTTCTTTTTTGTTTGTTTGTTTGTTTGTTTTTGAGGTGAGTTTTTCCATCTTGTCATTCTGTCTTGCAGAAAGTGGTCACTTTTCTATTTGTAGTTTTGCAACAATTCTTTCCTTAGATCTCCAGCTGAGTTTGCAAGTGTTCAGAATGATTTGAAAGGTATTCTAGCTGAATTCCTGATACCACACGAAATTAAGATCTCCTACTCTTCTGCCATCCTGGACTCCCCTAACATCCTTTTAAAAACTACATTTCATATGTCCAGAACTATTCTGTAGATTCTACAAATCTTGTTTACCAGTGAGAATAACATCAGTGTGTAAAGAAACCAAATTCAAACTATAACTTTTTCAGTCCAGAACTCATACTTTTGCTATTCTATATCTCAAATACATCCCTTGACTAAATTCATTAAGTTTTTCTTGTTGCTAGTTGGAGATTCACTCCTTGGTTTCTTTTTGTTGTTGTTCATTCATTCATTCTTTCTTTCTAGATTTTATTTATTTATTTGACAGAGAGAGAGAGAGCACAAGCAAGAGGAGCAGGAGAGAGAGAAGTAGGTTCCTGGCTGAGTAGGGAGACTGATGTGGGGCTCAATCCCAGGACCTTGGGATCATGTGCTGAGCTGAAGGCAGACACTTAACCGTCTGAGCCACCCAGGCATTCATCACTCCTTGGTTTCTTAACTTACATCTACTGTCCTCTCAGACTATGACCATTCCCAAATTTCTATCAACTGTCATCTAATATTGAATGCTTAATTTTTTCTTGAGCTCAATGCTAAGCACGTTAAATACATTCCCTTCTTTAATACTCATAGCCAGTGAGAGATAGATGCCATTACAATGTTTTACAGAAAAGGAAACAGAGTTTTAAGAAATTAAGTAGGTTGTTTGGGGTGGTAATGCTCAGATGGAGAAGACCCATGGCTTCCTATCTCCCAGGCTTGTGTTCTAATCACACTGTTAGTCCTCCACTAAGGAAGTTTTGTGCTGAAAGAGCATAACAGGCTTTTTTTTTTTTTCCCCATCAGTGTCATCAGAGTGATGATTCATTCAATTCAAGGGCAGTATTAACCACCTTATCTCATGAAATATCTGAAATGTATATTTCATTGAACAATAGAAACCTCATGTTCTTAACATATTTGGGTGTACTCATGTCTAGCAACTAGTGACTGAGTGTCATCATTTTTATTTCTTAATGACTTGGGTATCAGTAGACACCTATGGGGTCAGGCTTCCTTTAATTTAAAGAGGTTTGAAAAGCTTTATTTACCATGCTTAATTGAATCTATTCCATTCATTTATGATGTACCTCTTTAGGAAAAAATCCAGTTTAAATATCATACTTCATAGGCTTAGGGAGTCCAACCAGCTAGCTTGTTGTGTTTATCTATGTTGCATGATAGATTGTGGCCATGTTACTTACCAGAATGATGACTCTCGAAGGCCCATCATCATCATCAATGACTTAATGTATTGTCTTTCTTGTGTAACATTGACTGATACATAGTAAATGAATGTGGAAAAAGAAATAATGCAGAAGAATATGAAAAAATCAGTTGCAACTCCTGCTTGGGCAACAAAAGGTAATATCTTCATGTTTATACCAGTGATTGACATCAGCTCTTCCATCACTGAATGATTTGTTGTGATCTAAGGGAAGGTATCAAGGAACACATTGTTATCATCACACCAGTTCTAACCTCGTGTATTTTCTCTCAGTTTTAACAAATTATGTGCATTCCACATTTAAATATATATGTTCATATAAATCTATATGACCCCTTGTAGTTCCTGAAACACTCCAAGTTCTGGCTGACTCCTTAGAGCTTTCCTATTTACCACCTTCCCTGAACAAAATTTTACTCATGCTTGAAGGTGCAACTGAAATGTCACTTCCGTTAGTCATCTTCCCCGATATTTCTCATTAGAGTATGTTCTGCTTCATTGTTTGCCTTGCACATCATGTGTAATTCCATGATAGAACCTAAACTTTTATTGTGACTTCATGTCCATATTTCTGTCCCCTCAATATCCAGGATCCCTGGAGAAAAGTACCTGTGTTCTACTGATTTCTTGATCCTCAGTGCTTAGCATAATGGCTTACATATAGCAGTTGTTCTCTGTATTGTGCCAAATAAATTCAGTGACTCAATTAAGTAAATGCTAAGGTAGGGCAATCTATTATAGCACCATGCATCAAAATGCAATATACAATGCAGTTACTTTTCTTTAACTCAATACTCACTTCTATAATAGCAGCATTAATGGCAGCTTGAAAAGCTACAAAACCTTTCTCCCAGAACATGGAACCTTCACATGTGACTTTTTCATCCATTACTTGACAATGAGCTATAGTAAAAGAAGAACACAACCATTTATGATGGGATGGGATGATCTTGGTTATAGGAAAAATCAAAACTTCAAATGTTCCAAAAGACACTACAAATCCACAATAATACAGTGTATGGTAGGGCTTCTCCAGAGAGTTTGGAAGAACATACCCAAGAAGAATACACCAGAATTGCTTTATTAATGTTTTTAAGACCAGTTATCAATAATTTGCATTCATTCTTATCATTCTCTCAGTTAGCCAAGAATGCTTTTTTTTTTTGAGCTTTGATCTTCTGTTGTTTTTGCCATGAAAGCACTACATTTTAAAAATTTTTTCATTTTTTTAAAAAGATTTATTTATTTATTTGATAGAGACAGAGATCACAAGTAGGCAGAGAGGCAGGCAGAGAGAGACGGGGAAGCAGGCTCCTTGCTGAGCAGAGAGCCCGATGTGGGGCTTGATCCCAGGACCCTGAGATCATGACCTGAGCTGAAGGCAGAGGCTTTAACCACTGAGCCACCCAGGCACCCCAGCACTACATTTTTTTAAATGTTTGGGAATCAATGAGCAAGAATCTTTCCTTCAGGTTATATTTAGCTGTGGCATAGGAATAATAGCAAATATTATTTCTTAATAAAACAATATACTTAAGAACACAGGATTTATTTAAATAAGAATAAATTGCATTTATATTCAGAAATCAAGAGAACATCCAGCATATGGTTGTGTAGACTTCAGAGATCGCATGTGTCTTCTAGCGGCTAATGACATAATAGCAAAAAAACCAAAAACCAAAAACCAAAAATCCTTCTAGTAGGAAAATTACCTGAATGGTCTCTGTGTTCCTTCATCTTGGGGATTCTCCCTCTCCAGACAAACTTCAGATGATATGAGAATGTATCATTAAAGATGACTTTTACTGCATCTATAGAGTAGTTTAAATCCAAATCATCCATGCTTTTCTCATCTGGCCACCCCATGATTCTTCTTCCTGGCATGTGAAAGAAAGAAGTAGCTAATAAGGAAGATTTTTATGTGGTCCAATGACAGCAGACCATATTCAATTATGTTACAGTTATTTAATGTTAAACCTCTTTATTCACTAAAGGCAGGGCTGATCCTAAATAAGAGGCCCATACTGTGGCGGAGTGTCTAAAATTCTGGATAAAATCAGAGTTATGGGGCAATCACTTTTATCACAAATAGATCATGTCTTTCCAAATAAACTTTTAAACCAATGATGTAAAGCATTGAATTTGGGATAATATCAATACCACTATTACACCAGGAATGCCCCTAGCAATACACAGCAATACACAGACCTATCCGAAGTTGAAATATATCATATAATTATAAGATGACACCATGCTGTCAATGTGGCCAAACCTCTGAAGACAACATAAAATCATTAAGTTTAGAGAATGTTTTCTCAAGATAGCATCTCAAGATACCTAAAAGATACAACAGAATTAATAACTGTTACTGACCAAACCCAGGCTACTTAGCCCATGTAATTCCCTGCAGCCTGGATTCTGATGGATGCATACTTCCAGTGCATTATGACAGGCTTCTAGTTCTCTGTATCTCCTGCAATCTGGCAGCTGCGTCCAGAGGCTTAATCAGACTCTGGTAAAATCCTTTTGGTGACAAGAGGTGGTGGTATGTTCTTTCATCAGAGTGTCAGGATTTCTGATAATCTGGTATTTAGAGATATTATTAGTATCCATGGATACTCAGTGCCTAGATCCATTAATTCAATGGGAGTTTTAAAATGGTGATATTATATTGCCATCATTTCTTTTTTATGTTTTAGAGGAAACATTTATAAAATAGTCCTTTCCAGCATCTGTTTGATTATCCACTAATATAGTTCATATAGGATAAATACTGGGTATCTTCTCTTCATATACAAATTTTCATAAGAAGAACTGATTCTGTACCATATTCTAAAAGCATTTTTTTTCCTTTTAATACGTTGTGGAAGCCTGGGTTTTATGTATACATTGGATGAGTTTCATATCATGACACCTACTATTCTTATTGAAGCTCAAAGTATGCCAACTGGACCAGTGGGAGTCTCCTCAAATCGAGTCCCTTTCACAGAACCTGTTCATTATCACTGGCTTCCTAGCAATCTGGAATGACAATATTTGAGAGAGAGAGTGCATGTGCTTGGGGGGAGGGGCAGAGGGAACGAAAGTCTCAAGCAGACTCTGTGGTGAGCACAGAGCCTGATGTGGGCTCAATCTCATGATTCAGATCCTGAGATCATGATCTGAACCAAAACCAAGAGTCTGACACTCAACCCACTGCACCACCCTGGTACCCTGACAATATTCTTTACCCTGTAAATTTCCTGTCCCAGACCTCTGCATCTCCTTTCCTCCAGGACTGAGATTCCTGGGTTTCCAAGACAGAGGGGTGGGAGAAAGGGACTACTTCATAATTACCTATTTGGTATATCCCACTTTCCATATGTAACAGCTTTGGGATAACTGCCTAATACTACCCTACCAGGATAGTGGCTGAAAATTATTTCAGTTGTTCACAGATTGACCTACTCTGCTTTGCAAGGTGTACTGGTTTCCTCTCAGGGGGCTCTTTCCAGCTCCATCAGATACCCCACTGCTCCCCTTTGCTCTCCCAATACCCCAGAGAGATGCCATGCAGGCTTGGTGGCTGATGGTGATTCCTCCCCCCCACTTATATTGTGGGGTTTGGAGAAACACCCTACTATCTAGTTTTGTTGGTAGCTACTGCTGACTTCTTGGTTTTACTGTCTAATTTCCCTCTCAGTTCTTTATGTATTTGAAGAGAATTAAAAACTATGCTCTAGTGCTGTCCAATATTTCCAAAATCTTCTCACTAACATACATTTGAATAATACCAGACTGTCTCATTTTGATATGGATGATAATGAGGATAATACAAAATCCCAAAATAAATGTGTGTGTTCTGCAAATCAGGAAAAACATCAAGAACTGCTAGAGAACATACCTTTCATGAATGGGGCTGAAGCCACTTTTTCCATGATCTCCTGGGTTGTTTTGGATTCAGGGGCAAATGCAATCACATAATTAGAGTCATTAAAATTATCTACACGTCCCAGATTCATTGCAGGCAATTGAGGAAAGTCATTAACTTGATGTAAATTGGAGGAAAGTCGGTATGCAAACAATACTAGAAGAAATGAGAAAAACCATTCCTACACAGCAATGAGAGAAAAATGAAACCAATCAAGAGCTGCTCATCCACAGAGAAATCATCCATAAGAACTTCAAACGTGTACTTTTGTTATGTAGCATGGACCATTTTTTCCACTCTCTCAGTTTCCAAGTGTTTCCGTTTTCTTTTGCCCTTTGATTAGCATATTTTGAAATACACACATTGTCCATCAAAAGAGAGCTGTAGCACTGATTCCAATTATAATTGAGAGTCTAAGTTTATCATCCTTTAATGTGAGTGTTAGAGGATAGATTGCTTCAGGAATGACCCAGTAGTTTACAGTCATGCTGACACCTGTGTGTTGATAGGTAGAGAAGTGTTAGGTGTCATGAAATTGGTTTCCAGCTCTCAAAAACAGAAGTGAGGTTCTATTTTTATCGGCTGATGCTGTACATGTGAAAGAAGACTGTCCCAAAACACTGCTCATAAAAAGAATTTTAAAAAGTCTTTGTCATTGTGATAACATTCTGAAATTGGAAATGCAACAGAATGCATTTAAATTCTGGTGCTAAGACCCTATTACGTACTTTTGATTTTAAACACAGAGACTTTAAAATATCTTATTTACCATCTGATCTTATTTTAGTATGTGTGTTGTTCTCTATCTAGATAGATCAATTGACAGTTGTGATGCTTATATTAAAAACAGTTAAAAAGTTGGAAGTAACACATCTATATAGTATAGAATTCAACTTTTATATTTATACTTTATAATCTTTACTCCATGCTTGATTTTTGTATGCTTTATTTATTGTCAATCCAAGCATTCAATATCTATTTGTTGAAAGAACACACACACACACACAATGTTCATAAGATCCAATGTTAATACACTAACCCTTGAACTATGGGCATATTATAAGTGATTTTAACTTTTTAAATGTATTTTTCTCAATTTACTTAATTTTCTACATAGTACATCTGATCATTCTTATCAGAAGAAAACAGTTCTGTCTTAATAGAAGCATAAGTTCAAAATGTCATTTTCTTCTTCTGTTTGTTTATATTTCATTACTTCTTTCAAATTGACACTGTCTGTATCCTTGGTACAAATGTGTAGAAGGGCTACAATTTGTATTTTGAATTTTTTTTTGTTTGTTTGTTTTGTTTTTAATTTTGGGTTACTTGCTGGATTAATTCTGGATTAAATTTGTGTCTTTCTTTGACTTTGACCCTGAACTTCTGTACCTATACCTTCGTGAATTTCAAAGGAGTTCATATGTTAAGAATTATTATTTCTTCAATACAAAGATATGGATTTATTTTTCAGGGAGTTTCTGAATATTGATTATTTAAAGAATGTCTCTAGTCAGACAAATAATAATAATATACTTAAAGGACTGTCATTTGAAGTAATAGCGAAGTCCAGAATTTGAAAAAATTTTCCAGTCTGTTAGTTAACAACAGAATATATATGAAACATTAAATAATGAAAATAAACTATTTGCAGTGCCCCCTCCAAAAACATTTTCCTTTCCTAAATATGAGACGATGTAGAATCTGAACCATACCAACAAGGTCTCTCTCTTCATCCTCCATTTCTTCAGAAAATTCTTGCAGAGGAGAGCCCATGTTTGCTGACCCACACTTAAGTGCCTCTTGATCATTCTGACCTGTTTATTTTAAAATAAAGAAGCAAAGGAAGTAAATGTGATGGTCTGAAATAGGAAGCATTGTGCAATCAAACCAAAATGAAACATCATAACAGCTGTTTCCAATTCCATGTGTAGGAAAGGGAGCCAGAAGGCTAAAACATACAAAGGAAAGCACAAGTTAACTAACAAATCAATTAGTTGAATCCTCATAATAAATCTTTGGGATAGATCCTACTATTCTCCCCATTTAAAAGATGAGGGATATGAGGCACACAGAGGCTAAGAGATTCACCAAACAGCTAATGGTGGCAGAACCAGAGATTTAACTTAGATGACCAAGTTCTATTGACCTCACTCTTAACCACTGTGCCAATGTTGTTGTTGAAATTTGTCTAAGGATTGTGTGGATCAATCCACCATTTAGGGCAAGATCAGAAACTCTACCAGCATCCAGAGGAGCTCAAGGAGGGATCCACTCAGACTACGTGGTCCATCCAGTCATTATCAGGAACCCCCAAATGCTAGAACATAAGGAAAGATTGATTACTCTCAAGAGGCAGAGAAAATATATGATCTTTCCAAAGAAAACTTTATTACAATAAACAGAAGAAAAGTTTTCAAATCTTCCATTTAATGACTATAATAAAATTCAAGAAGAAAGAAAAAATGAAAAGCAAATTACATACTTAAAAATCCCACTGAAGTCAGTAAAGAACATAAGATCTATGCTAGAGAAAAATTTTGTAATCTTGCCAGATTTTCAATGAAAGTTAAAACTCATTTAAAAACATGATTAAAAATACATGAAGTAGAAAAAAAAAAGTAAGATCAAAAGTAAAGTATTTGGTAAAGAGATACCCCAAAAGAAGAAAAAAACAGGAGAAAAATATATTGAAGAAAGTACCTTGTAAAAACCCAATGGAAATTAATTTTTCAAGGTAGTGGGAAGATGCATATTTCCTAAAAAGGCTTGCCAAGTACCAAATACAATGACAAAAAAAGAATGGTATTTTTAAAATTAAAGGACAGAGGGAAAAGTTAGAATTAAGTTGCAGGGGTAAAGGTGGGGTTGTTCAGGAAGGAATGAGTCAAGAGTTGATAACGGAACAAAAATCAGCCTGATATCTTCAAAGTGGAAGTGAAAAAGTGATTCACCCAATTTCCTTTGAAAAATCTACCCAAAGGGACAAATACAAAGAATTGCCTGAGAAGGCACAAGAAGAAATATATATTTGCAATAAAACTAGAATATGATTTAACCCCAAACCACAGATACTCCCCCACAAAATGTCAGCCAAATTATTAAATGTTGCCTCAAATTAAGAAATACACACAAAAAAGTTTTCCGACTCTCCTGTCCAAAATAGGCATATTAATTGAAGATTGAGAAAATTAATTGAATCTAAAATTATGATGAAATCCTTGAAAACCACACAATAGTCTCTCACTTGAAATGACCTGTAGGGCTAAAGGCCATAGCAGAAGGATGGCGTCTAGTTCCACCTTACGGAGTATCAAGGAGGTGATGAGAATCTGCTTGAATACAATATTGTTGTTGTGTTCAAGTCCACAGCTGAGATATAGAAGAATGTGGAACATCTTTACACCAATGGTAAGAAACAACAATAACCCAACAAAATTAAAACCACATTTCCCATGACACAAACAAAAAGCAATAGATGCGAGGAGACACTGATGAACTGAATTCTCAAGAAAGACAAGCCCATGATGGGTGTAAAGAGAACCACCCTTGCAGCTTCCATACCTGGGCAAGCATCTCTTCTAGGTGTGGGCAGAAAGACAAGGTGCATTCACTGGAAAGGGTATTTGCAAAGATGTGGAGGGAAAATATCAAACCTTAGGGGATGTGTGGGTGGGATGTAAGAAGTAGAATGGAAAAGAGTCTAATATGCCAAGAATAAAAATAGCTTAACCAATTTTTTCTTCACCTTACAGCCATGTTGGATTTTCTAAAAAAAAAAAAAAAAAGTGAAAGAGGTAAAATAGAAAGAACTTTTGAAATTCTGTGCCTTCTCAAGCTGTCTAGATTCTGAGAACTTTCCAGAGTTGGACCCAGTAGTGTGAAGGTGCTCTTTGTTGGAAAAATATGGGCAGAAAAATATAGTTATTGTGGTAAGGTCTGTTCGGTAAAGGGGTATGTGTGGTGTCATTACAGACAACTTTGATTCTTGCGAAGTAGCGGGCCCCATTTTATTGCCAGTAGAAAAGAGCACCTAAAATAATGTTCAGATTCATGATGTCTGTTACTCCTGCATGCATATGAGTGGATAGGTGGGAGGTAGAAATAGGGAGAAGGAGTGAGCAAACAATGAACACATGAATCAGATAAATTTATATTTGGAGTTCCTTGAACAAAACCTCATTCTAATAGTATATCACTGGAAGCAATTGAGGCCTGATGATTTGTAGACCCCCATGGTGTTYTGCTCTTGTCAGTGGACTAGTCATCCATTGCTTCCTATTTATGGATTCAACCTTGGCCTTGGGGATAATCCATGTAAGGGCTTACGCTCACAGGAAGAGAGTGCTACCCTTTAGGCTTACACACAAGTCTACCAATCAGCCAGACTGTCAGTTTCCAATAAGTAGGCCAAGTCATCAGCAGAAGACATTATATATCGAGAACCTATATAACAACAACAACTCAGGACATAGCTGTCTAACAACCATTAAATGATCTCTTTCAAACCTAGTGAAGGCAGCCAATTTCAGATATAACCCTCAGTCTGGGAGTGGTAGCATGATGTAATTATTTATATGGTCATCCTAGTGCAGTCCAAGAATTACTAGTGTATCTCCCAGAATGAGCTCCATAATTGAATTGCAAGAAATCTATCTCATTATTTTCCCATCAGAAAGAATAACAAAACTACTCTGAGACTTATAAAACACAAATATCCATGAGTTATCCAAGTTGATAAAGAAAACATAAGGTGTCATCTTAGTTAACAGAACCCAACCTTGTAGGAGGGGAATTGATCCAGGAAGTATTCCAAGCATATTGGCTTGAGCTTTGGTGCAAAGCTTGGAGCACAAGTCAATAGGTCAATAAGACGGGTTTTGGGGGTCATGGCATCCTTCTTTGGTGCCATATTGAAAAGAGATGGAAACCATAGAACTGCTATTGTCTCTTCCATCATATTACTAATAAGGTTGTTTCTGGCTACTACCTTCATGGCCTAATGCTGATCTTATCCATGGGGTGAGAGCAAAGCCATGAATATGCTGGTTCCTACTGGTATTCAGGAGGTGGCTCAAATGGGAAGGTCACCTACTCAAGGCAGAGAATATTGTGCATCTGCCATTTCAGTCTGAAAGGTAAGGAATAACTGAAGAGGAATAAGGCAGGCAGAAGAATGGTCCCGTTCTAATCCTGGAACTTGTGAATATATTACATTACATGATGTATTAAGAATTAAGGGAGCAGATGGGAGTAAGGTTGCTAATCAACTAAGTCAGGGAGATTGTCCTGGGTTATCTAGGGGGACCCAATGTAATCACAAAGGTCCGAAAAGTGGAAAAGAGAAGTAAAAAAGATAGATAGTGCAGGTGCTGTTGAAAGGACTCAAGCCATTGCTGGTTTTGAAGATGGAGGAAGGCGGGCATGAGCTGAGGAACGCCAGCAGCCTCAGCAAACCGTAGAAGGCCAAGAAAACAGAATTCTCCCTCACGTCCTCCAGAAACCAATGCAGCCCTGCCAGCACGTTGATTTTCATCCAGTGAGACTCACATCACACTTCTCGCATCCCCAACAGTAAGATGATAAATCTGCTTTGTTTTCAGCCATAAAGTTCAAGGTCCTCTGTTGCAGCCGCAACAGAAAATTAACACAAGGAGCACAAAAGAAATCGAGAAGACAGAGAATAAGACAAGGACGAGGGCTTTAGGGTGTAGAGTTGCCTTTACAAGGTGCCCCCTTGTAGAACAAAAATTGTCCAGAAATGAACAAAGGTTCATTGCTGAGTTCCTGATGATAGTGTTAACAGAGCAGACTGTGATGGCCTCGAGACCCCAACTCAAATGAAAGCGTGACATTACCAATTAAGAAATCCTTGCCCTAGTAAACCATGGTATCTGAGGGGGTTAAATATGCTGCTCTCCTTTCTTCCTGTGGAGGAATGCATGTGCCAGAAAGTATTACTGATGACTACAGAATTAACATGATCAGTCACAATTATGGTTATTTACTTCTGTCTGTTAGGACTGATTTTTTTTTTTCCCACTACACATCCTGATGTAAATATCGGGGTAGAGGGGGGGATTACTATTCATCAGAGGAGCACAAAACCTCTAGCTTAAATTGCTCTGAATAGGAAGTCGTGTGATCTAGAAATAATAACATGGCTATAAAAAGCCAGTCATGCCCCGCCTGATAGATTTCCTCATATTCAGAGAATAAACACATTGCACAACAAGTTAGATCAAAGATGTAGTATGATGAACAAGGTCAATAAAAATACTGTCCTACATTTTCTTGATGAAAATATTCTCAAGCCAGTTAAAACAATTGAAAACTCAGAAAATCATGTGCCCCCCTCCTACCCTCCCGCTCCCTACCCCCAGTGCTTACAAATCCTCTGGCAGTAAAAGTAAAAACAAACAAAAAAGAATAAGTAATTCTAACCACTTGGGAAACAGCCCATCATCATACTTGCAAAGAGGCAACATAAGTTTATATTCCTTTCAATTCGCCCAAAACCCTTTTAGATAATATATGCTATGCTTTAGTCATGGGGTGAAATGGAAAAAAAAAAAAACAAACAAAAAAAACACTTAGTTCTCCAACTGGTTTTTTTTTAGCTGTACAATAGAAGATACTCGGATGATTTGGAGAATCAAAACAACTAATAATTTACTGCATTTACTAGTCCCCATCCAAATGTTTGGCATTCCCTATTTGAAGTCATAAGTTATAGTTTTATATGCACAGCAACCACAATTTTAGAGATTAACTTACTCTCAGGAAAGCTGGAGCAAGAATCTAGAAATAGTTCGTCCACAGGTCTCTGCATGTCCTGGAGAAGAATTCACATTCCTTTTGGATCACTACTACATCATGCTTTTAATTTCATGTTTATTGCGAATAGCTCCGTTTTAGAATGATTTCCGAAAAGGATTATGGTCCTCCTTCAGCCGGGCTGCCAGAAAACTCCGGGCTCACATCACATGGTGGTTTCTTCGCTGTTTTTCGTTTCTTTGTATCCCCGCCAGCAACTCAGCAGGGAGTTTGTAGCTGCAGATGGCTGGCTGGACTTATCAAAACATTAGGAGCTATCAAACCAAGGAGAATCTAGCCTTTCTCAATTAGCTTTTGCATACAAGGTCCTAATGGGAGAGTTGGCCTCGGGACAGTCTTTTTAAAACAACAAAAGTAAAGAGTTCAGAGAAAAGCAGGTCAGAGAGAGGGTAAAAAAAAAAAAAAAAAAAAAAAAAAGATTTTTTTCAAAAAATAATAGTATAAATACAAAACCAGGTCAGAAAATTGCTCAAAACCCTCCACTTGAGTTCTTAAAATCTAGGTATAGAAATATGGCAATGAAGCCATGTAATTTTTTTCAGGGTAAAACCATGAACTCTGCGTTTATCTGCATTTCAGTTACATCACATCCAAGCTAACTGTGCATCACTCTTGGAGTGCAAAGCAGGAGAATCCTTTGAGCAACATTGTGTAAAGTCACCAAGATCTACCAGCTTGTTCTTTCTATAACAAATCCCAGCAAACAAACCACTTTCTCTATAACCAACTGCTGGCTTTGAGTATGTCCAGTTTTCCATATTTTTCAAGACACATTTGTAACAGGTAAGAGTTGCCACTCTATCTCCTTTGAGCATTTCATTTAAGTCGAAGACAAGGCAATTGTAAAACTTCTTGTAATTCCTGGAGTTTGGTTTGGGCTGAAGAAGACACATGAGAAAGGGCCACTCTCTTTCTGCTTGCCCTAGGTAAGTCTGCTCCCTGCTTCTGCGCTGTGATTGCTTTCTGAATATGTAACCGAAGGGGAAACAATGTGTTGTGCGTGCAATTCTTAAACCGAGCAGACTCATCTGTGTCACCTCGTCTATGATCATCACATGAAATCTTCCTCACCTACTTCCCACCTCAACGTTTATTCAATCCTGTGTGCGCTTTTGCTAATTATGAGTTCAGGAATTGTTCAGCAAGCAAAAAACAAAGGCAGATCAAACTCATTAATGCCTGAGACTGTCAAAAAAACAAAAAACTTCTGAGCATTTCTGCATATTTGCTGTCTTCTGCAGAAGATACAAAATTATCCCATGTAATAACATCACCAGCATTTTGTAAACAGAGAAAATGATTGAGGAAAAGCTTTTCAGTAACTTTTTTCCTAGCAGAATTTTGTATGCCTTCTGATGCTAGTTGGCTTCTAGACTCTATTCTCTTTTCTTTTCTTTTCTCTTCTCTTCTTTTCTTTTCTTTAATTGAAGTAGAGTTGACACATTGACACATAATGTTGCATTAATTTCAGGTGTTCAAACTGCTGATTCAACAAGTTTGTGTGTTATGCTGTGCTCACTCTAAGTGTAGCTAACATCTGTCCGTACAGAGCTATTATAATATCACTGACTGTATTCCCTATGCTTTCCCTTTCATCCGCATGACTTATTCATTCCATAACTGGAAGCATGTACCTCCCACTGCCCTTCAGACACCATCCTTTCCCTTCAAAATGTGGGCTTCTTCCTTCTCGTGTGCTGCATTGTAATCTCCATACCACTGTAACAGAGCAAGGGCATTCTCGTTAATCCTCTTTTCAGCATTTCTTCGATGAAGCCATACATCTTCATTCTTCTAAGTAAGTTTCAGAATCTGCTTGTCAACTTAAAAAAAAAAAATCATCCTGCTGGGATTTAAAAGACAGGAGAACACTGATTTTATGCAGGAGATAATTACTAAGCAAGGACATACGGCACTTAGGATGTGCAGGATACACTTAAATATCAGCACAATTAATCCATAATAATCTTATCAGCTTGGTGCTATTAAAATCACCCCCATTTTATGGGATGAGATAAATGAAGCCCAGAGAGTTTAAAAGACTTGCCCAAACACACACAGCTGGTGACTAGCAGATCCTGGGTAAAATACTCAGACCAACTTCCATCTGTAGCTTAAATAACATACTATGGTGCCTCATTTGTGTGTGTCTCTGTTCACTCAATGATTCTCACTTTAGATACACACATTTTACAATTCGCCTTGCTTTTTTGCTTCATGTGTTTTGCAACAATACTCCCCTTACAGATTTCATGTGCTGTGAAACAGTCCCTTGAATTCTTTCCCAGCTGATTGTACAGGGTACTTAGCTTTGTGGACCTGTGTGCAGCCCTCAACGCTGTGTCCAAAAGCAGGGGAAAAAACCCAATTTGCAGAGAAAGAAGAGTGGAGCCCCCCAGCAGCTTGAGAGAGAGAGAGAGGGAGTGAAGAAGAGAGAGAGAGAGACTGAGAACATCTGCTCTTTTCCAAGAACTTTGCTGTTCTTCCTTTTTGTCCTTCCTCAGACCCAGCTGTGTGGCTAAGTTGGATTTTGGCAAATATTCTCCAAAAATTTTTTTATTTTTTTTTAAATATAAGAAACAAATTCTATTTGGTCCATTTTGTCCTTGCTCTCTTGCTCTTTGTGCTTTCCTGTGGTTTCCCCAACTCTCTACACTGGTCATGTTTTTTTCTCTGTTCCTTTTTTTTTTTTTTTTTTTAGATCCCCCTTGTCCTTTTCTCTTCTCTTGTGAAAAACCCGTGGGTGAGAACTTTCTAGTCTTTCATTCTACTAGTGATCACTCTCACATGTTGACAAACATATTTGAATCTGCCTTACTCTGACAAGGGAAAAAGATCAGCCTAAGTATCTTTCCCCCGTGACCTGCTATTTCTGTGTCCATATCCCACCCTATATGGAACAAGTCTGCCAGCATATTTGACCTTGAAGCCTGAGTTCGACTCCTTACTAGCAATGCAATGCTGGGCAAGTGACTCACCCAGGAGCCTTAGTTCCCTCACCTGTAAGATACAAAGAGTAGGATACTAGGCAACAGGGTCTTTTAGGATTTGAAAAATTGGGGGGGTAAGATTAAAGGAAACATCACATATGAAGTATTTAGCCCAATACCAAGCACTGAGTGGGCACTCAATAAATGGTAGTGATTACACTCTCCACAGCCTTGGCATAGTTGAAAATCACAGATTTGTTTTTATTCAAAGTATAATTAGCATACAGCATAATATTAGTTTTGGGTGGACACTATAATGATTCAATGATTCTATCCATCACTCAGTGCTCATCACAGTAAATATACTTTTAATCCCCTTTGTCTATTTCACCCATCCCACATACCCACCTGGAAATTACAGGTATTTTTAAAAAATTACCAATCTGAAAAAATATATACTATCATCTTGATGACTTAACATACATTTCTTAGGTACTTGTGATTTCAAGCATATTTTAATATAATTTCTGGTCCTTTGTAAATTGACCAATAGATCTGCCCTTTCTTCTCTTCCTATATTTCTGTTTATGCTGTCATTCTGGATTTTTTTGTTTTTGTTTCTGACCACAACTGAAAATATCTTCAATTATTTATTTAAAAAATTATGTTACTACCTTCTTACATCTAGTTTTGCTGATAAGCATGCTTATCTAACTCTGATTCTCATTAACTTAAAGTCTTTCATAGTTCTTGCTAGGTTATTTCAGGATCTTCTCCTTAGTTGCAGATATATGAAATTTCATGAAAATGTGCCGAGGTTTTGGTTTTTGGTTTTGGGTTTTGGGTTTTGGGTTCTGCATGGCATTCTATGGCCACTTGCAATCAAAGAACTTGTGTTTTTTGTTTTGTTTTGTTTGTTTTGGACTTTTGGGAAATTACCAGCTAATGTTTTATTCCAATATTGCTTCCCTTTTAGGCTTTCTATTCTTCTTTCCTGTAAATTTATTAGGTATTTGACATAAGTGACTCTTATTCTCACAAAACAAACTGAGGGTTGCTGGGGGGAGGGGGTTTGGGAGAGGGGGGTGGGGTTATGGACATTGGGGAGGGTATGTGCTATGGTGAGTGCTGTGAAGTGTGTAAACCTGGCGATTCACAGACCTGTACCTCTGGGGATAAAAATACGTTATTTGTTTATAAAAAATAAAAAAATTTAATAAAAAAAATAAATTTATTAGGTATTTGAGATCGATTGCCTTTGTCTTACTTTTTTCCAATCTACTCTCTTAAAACTGGCAAGTAATCCATTTCACACCACATAAATCTCTCCAACATACAATTTTTGTTATGTCACTCCCATTGCTGCCTTCACAGGGTCCTGGCTTCTTTGCAAAAGTGCACAAGACTTTTATCATCTGCTCACGGCTCCTCTCCAGCCTGCCTCTGCCTTAACCCTTCCTCCAACTCCAGGCGTACCTAAACATGACTTTTTGAATTATTTTACTTTATTTTTATTTTACTTTGAGAGAGAGAGAGAAAGAGAGAGAGAGAGAGTGCAAGCATGCAAGCAGAGGGGAGGGACAGAGGGAGAGGAAGAGAGACTTTTAATTAGGCTCCACACCCAGCATGGAGCCCAGGGCAAGCCTCAATCTCACAACCTTGAGATCAGGACTTGAACTGACACTAAGAGTTGGACGCTTAACCAACTGCACCACCCTAGCACCCCTCATTTTTGTTTTTTAAACCAATGCATCATATTCTCACTTATCTCTGTTTGCTCTCCTGGAATTAACCCCTCCTCTGAACTGGCCTTCCCATAATGACCTTCTAAATGATCATTGGGAGACCTAGTAGGTGTAAGTAGTAATTGGTGACTAGCCTTCTAATTCTTACTTGTCCTTCAGGTCTTATGTCTGACTTGTCCTAGAGGAGCTTTCCCGGCCCTCCTACCGTGTGGGTTGGATGCTCCTCACAGGTGCTCCCATGGCACTGTGTACTGCTATAGTTTTATGTACCTCACCATACCTTAAAGTAATCATACTCATGTCTCTCCCACCGTAGACTATAAACATCTGAGGAGTACCATGGTATCTTCACTATGGTACAGAGCCTAGGGCATGAAAGTTGCTCAGTGCCTATATTTTGGGCTTTAGATGTATAGTGCTGGTGTGAGATAGGGAGGCAAAAACAAAAAACAAAAAAAATGTGAGGTATTTTTTCTAGAAGCCTGGTTATGAAAGAGAGGCCATTGGTTGGGTGGTTGCCAAAATGAGTTGCTTGGGTCAACAGTAGGTTTTTGTTTTGTTTTTGTTTTTTTAAAGATGATGTTGAGAAGGGAAAAGTAAGCAAGAAAATGCCAAAAACCCAGGAGAAATCAAGTAACAAATGCAGC